AAAAAGATTATTTATCTTTATATTATTTTGAATATTTCTTTGTAATAACATTATAGATTTTGATATACTTTTTAAATACTTGTTTACACAACAATTAAAGTACTCCCTACATTAACTAGTATCACCTGAATTATAATAATCATAAACTGCAATCGATTAAGTATTTTTATTTCTAATAAAAAATTCTACATCATCAATACTTATTTTCAGTTTATTTGATATAAATTATTCTAACTATGTAACTTTTAAATCTATTGATTATTATTTTTTTATTTATAAACATATATGAAGCAAAATATATTTTTGTTTAAATCTTTTTTTCTATTGTTTTTTATTTAAACTTTGTTATAAAATTATTTTTTGGAAATACTATATTTAATCAACGTGTGTATGTTCTAAATAAATTTAAACATTAAAAAATCTTAAACAAAATTTAACGTTAATTTATAGTGAAGCATTAAAACAACTTTAATTATTAATAGAAATAAAATGTAAGTTAATTACAATATTAATTGAAAAACTAGATCCTGACTTTGTACTAATATAATCAATATATTTTTTAATTGTTTGTAATATTTTTTTGATAACCCATACATAATGTGATTTGTTATTATTATAGACTAGTTTGTGTAAATTCATTTTGACGCTGCACAAAATTTAAAAGTATTTCCATATAATTGATGTTCAATTTAATTTAAAAATATATATTCTATAAATAATTCAGTAATTTTACAGATTAAAGTTAATAACAAAGATAAATTTTGAAGTAAATTTTGAATATAAATTTTGAGACTGCTGATATTGATTCCAAATATTAATAATGCTTGATACGAAATAAAATTTGAACAGGTAATAAAATCTGAATTAATCACTAAATCATTAGATGGATTAAAAATATATAATGACTATATATATTAAATAAAATATAAAAGGAGTTCTTAGATTGAAGTTAGTAATACAAATTCTCTATTACCAGTTCATATTGCAGATACGCAATAACTGCATTTAATTACAGATATTAAGCTTACCAATTGTATATAATACATTTTCATGGTATAATTAAGCTAAGTCACTAGTTCAAAATATCAATGAATTATGATATTAAGAAATTAAGTTCTTGTAAATCAATTTCTCTTAAGGTCTATATAGATATAAATAAACGAAGAAAACCCTTGTGCTATACGTGATCTAACATCTTAAACGATGGACTAATAAAAATAAAATATTGGCATAGACATTTAAACATTTTAAAATTTAAAAATATCAAAAACTTTAATTTATAATATTTTTAAATCTTCAATTACTCATATTATATCACTTTTTTATATAAAATTTCCGGTTTGTACTTATACCTTACGTTATAGTATACATAGCAAAACATTAAATATGTTTTATGATGATTTCCTTTTTATTCATAGTTTTATGCTAATGACATTATTAATAATTCCAAAAAAAATTGGAAAACCTTACAAATACTTTACTACTGGATATAAAAGTAGCAGAGTATAATATAAATGGTTTTGATTAATACATCTTTATTTGCAATGAAGTAATATTTTTAAATAAATAATCTCATCACTTAGTTACGTATAAATTGTGTAAATATAATTATAGCTATTATATAACTTTTCATTTCATAAAAAAATAAAAGATAGTTTTTAAAATATAGATTTAGAAATGATAAATTGTTTTTCATTAAAGATATTTTTAGTTTTTTCAATATGTAAATAAATTAAATTTTTTAGAATTTAATAAATTAGATTAAAAAATAGCAATATTTAAGAATAATATTTTTATTATCTAATATTTGTTTTTAAATTAATGTTATATTAAGACAGTATCTAAGATATTTAAATACTTTTCATATGATAATTTATAAGAGTTTAGATTATTTTCACTATTACAGAATCACGCTGGGAAAAAATTTAGCAGGAGGAAAATATAATTCAAAACATAATAGAACTAAACTATTTTTATAAAAATAAATTCATATAATTAATTATTGATGCTTTGTATTAAGTATGGTTATCATTTAAAACCTATAAATAAAAAATTAATTAAATAAAATATTTATAAAATAATTTTAATAAATACAACATTTTATAAATTAAATAATTATCTACAAAAATTAATTCATGAGTATGAATCCTAATTAAATTGAGTGAATTTTTAATTAAATAAATTAAATTTTTCCTTATCTATATCATTGTTTTGATTTTAAATAATATAATTAGATTCTTTATATGATAGTTTAGGCGACAAATACATTATAATTGCAAAAACTTCATCGATAGTTGCTTATTCATTTATATTTATGTTTAAATATCATTAATAATTACGAAAACTCAATTTTTTACTTTCGTAACTAAATTTTTGTAAAAGTAGTATTATTCTAACTTCGGAAAACAATTTTGTTTTTGTTGATAATTTTCATTCTTCGAAAATGAATATAATTGATTAATTTTTATTTAATAAAACAGAATCGATTATACTTTTAAAATTTTTATATATAAAACAAACGGAATCTAAAAGTAGAAATATGACAATTTTTAGCAGTTTGAATCTAGAATTGAATGCTATGCCTTTAGTTCACTCATTTGAGTTATTGGAATAAATAAAACTGTTTATCAGATGTTAAATATACAGATATAGACTAATTTCAGCATAAACGCACAGAAATGATAAATACTTGTTTTACTAACTTTACTATCCATTAACGTCAAAACAAAAATAGTAAAATCATCTGTTTCAATTTTAGTCTGCAATTTATTCTGCATGCGCAGATTTCAATATATCACATATTGATGTCGGATTCCATTTTGATTTTTCTCTGATATTATGTTTCTATCATAAGTTCTATTATATAGTACATGGTTGTATATTATATTTATGTCAAACAGTATTAAAACGAATTAATATTAATTAAAATATTTTAATTCACGTTTTCATTATTTATTATTTCTAATTTTTAATCTAATATATAATTTAATTATAATACAAAGTATTTTGTATGGTATAATAGTTATTTAAGTATTATTTAAGTAGTTATTTATAATAGTTATTATTTTCTTTTAAGTATAATCATAACTAGGTAAGAAATACTTCTTCCTTGTTGATTTAAAGAATGTAAATAAAATACTATTTTAAAGATATATTATATAAATGAAATTTATATTATATTTTTCATTAATTTATATTATATTTTTTATTCGTATAATATAACTATAATAGCTTTTATAAACAAATCTAAAAAATTATTTAAATATTAATTTTATTGAGACAAGATGTGAAGTGAATTCTTTAGATCTCTTTATTCTAAAAATAATATTTTAGTTATATTATATTAAGTATTTCTATAATAATTGATAAAATCTAAATTACCTTGATCATATACTTTATAACTGATATATATAAAATTTTAATTTTAAAGAGTATTTGATATATCTATCAGTGTTCCTACATAACAAGCTGGAAAACTATTAATTTGAAAAGAAAATTAAAAGAACAATTGTTTTTTTATGTTACAATAAATCTAAATGTTCTAACATAAACATCTTTTTATAAAAAAAGTAAAAAGCATATCATTAAATTTCTATTACATTAGTGTGATACATTATGTAAAAGGAGAAGGTAAAGTTACTCTTTTGTTAAATATTAATTAATAAAATCTTGTAATTTCACATTTCATAAAATGAATTTACTAAATACTTGACTGTTTTTATTGTAAAATAAAAAATAATTATACAATTTACAATTGTAATTTATAATTATAAAATATTTATAATCATATAATTATATAATATAATTATTAATGCTGAAATGTAATGTATATCATTTTAAAGTTTTATTAGATTGAATATTATAAATTTTTTATAGATTATAACAGAATATAAAGTAATTTTCAAAATTACAACACTATAGTTGATATGAATATATGTATTTATATTACTTCAATTAATTAGTGCAATGAACTTAATTAGTATATTATTTCCAAAATTCTGAAACATTTAAAAAATTATATTTTAATTGTAATCATAGCAATAATATTATTGGATAGTTAAATTATCATTGCATATTATTTTATAAAACATGTTACTGGATTTTCAAATCAAAATCAATAACCGAAAAAGAAACATAAAATATTCAAATACTTTATAATAATGTATTAAAAGTAATTATGGAAAGTACGTAAATAAAAATTTTATTTAAAATAAATTGAAAATTTTCATTCAGTCAAATTAATGAAAACAAAATTTTTTATTTTTGAATTTTTTTATTTCTCATTAGATAATTAATCAATTAATAAAGCAAACCAAATACCAGAGTTATTATTATATTTAAAATTCTAATACGCCTTTATAAGCATATTTTCATGCCAAGTTACTATTCAAATTTTCACTCTGTTGTTAAAATATTTTAATTTAATCTAGTATCATTTTATTTATAATTACATTTTTTAGATATACATATTTATTACTTAAATAAAAATTATTTGACAATATTCCATTCATTTCATAATTCATAAATCTTCTGTTTCTATAAGATATTTTTTATATATTAAAAACAAAATTCCTACATTAACCATTTATAAATATTAAATGTTTTAAAAGCTTTTAAATGAAACAATATTTATAATTTACTGAAATGGATATAGAATTGATGTACATGAAAATTTCTTCAAAACAAGAATGTATATTTATATATTTATGTATGATGTATTTTTTTATTTGTTTTTACATTATTTCTCAAATCTATACTAACATGCAAAATATAATAAATACGATTTTACTCTTTAAAAACTGGTAAAATTAGATGGTGCATTAAAGATTATAAGATGTTTAATTGAGAACAAAATTTATGAGGGCAAAAACGAGATAAATTTTTTTAAAGTCTGTATTGTCCGAACAATAAAGTGTAACCAATCCTACTGATACAATCAATCCAATTACATTGAATAATAATTTAGATAAAAATAATGGTTGAGAATTGAATTGCTAATATTCTGGGTACAAGACGTTTAATTTTCGTTTGAATGTAGCTTATATGGATAGACAGTACTATAGTATTATCTTGCTTATGCGTAAACATTAGTCCACGATCGAAGGTTTAATTAGTTTAGTTAATTAATTCCGTTTTTTTTGAATTGCTAGCTTTTTCCATTGATCCGGATTTCAAAAATGCTTGTATATTACGTAATTGGCTTGAATAGAGTATGTCTGAGGCATCGGTAATTACCTATTACACCTTCTATGAGATCATTTTTTCTTCAGGGATGGTCGGGCTAGTAGCAGATAAAGTAGTGGAAGTTCGTCTAGAAATTTCAACTTCTCGTAAAGCTTCGTCGAAGCTTTGAGATGAATTGCTGCGAGATGGTGTAACTCTACCCTGGTGTGGATAAAAATTAAAATGATAAAATATTTATGTTGCAGGAGAAATTTAAATATCCTATATCTTTTCGTTATTTTAACTTTATCATTTTAAATAGATTTATTATTTAAATAACCTTTTTTTATTATTAGCTTTGATTATAAAATTTTTAAAATTTCTCTTAATCATATTGAACACTTATGTTGGTAACAATTACAATATTTTAATTATATCTTATAAAATTATAAATCTCAGCAGTACATATTTTTGCATAGAATTTATTTGTATATTAATCATTAATCAGAATTTTTATTTTTACCTTTAATCAATTACACCCATATTATATATTAATTTTTTTCATTCGATGTTTTCTGAATCGTGCTAATTTTGATCTAACTTTAATTACGAACAGTTATTAATAAAGTTCATAAAGCTATTAAAATTTAATAATTATTATTCAGAAATTTTGATTATTTGTTTAGAATTTGTAAGTAACGTTTCGATACTGCAATACATGTTTTTTTGTGCAATATATTTAATTTATACTGCAATAGTTGTTTTAACTTTATAAGAATTCTGCAACTTTTCATAATCGGAATGATATTTGATAATTTATTAACAATAATATCTTAATAATAAATAATAATATCATAGTGATCTCTATAATATATATTTCTCTGGACCTAATTATAAAAAATTATGTACATATTATATGCAATATTATTTTATTAACTTGTATAAAGATAAAATATAAATTAATATTTTTTTTAATCTTTAAATAAAAATAATTTTCTTTTAAGAATTTATATTGCTAAAACTCGTTACTTAACGTTATATTTTTTCACTGATTCCATTAATTAACTTTATGGCATGTAACTGGAGTAACTAAATCTAGATAAGTATCCAAAAAATACTAATTATATAAAGATTAAGCTTAAATTTTACTTAGATAATAAATGTTTATATATTATTAGTATAATATATATGATTTTATTATTCAAAATTTTCCCATTACCTTATTTATTTTATATTATTATTTTGTATTTACTTTTTATTAAAAATACAAATATATAATTATAAGTATAAGTATATATATTTTAGAGATTCCGTTTTTAATAAATAATATATTTATTATAAATTAAAAATTGGGAAAATTAGTTTTATAATTGGAATTTCATTGGTTTTTATACTAATAATATTATTAAAATGTTGACTATTGGTCGTAAGAAAATTTGAAAATTACTTTATGCTGCTAATTAATAAAATTGCGCAGTTGTTATAAAAGTTCTTATTTTGTATTAAGCTGTAAAATGATGCAATAAATCAATTATTTTTTACATTTCTTCATACAAATTTAAAAGAAAAACAAAAATATTTTAAAGGTATATACTTCAATTATATATTTAAGCTTTGTTTTATATTTATACTTTATCTAAACCAAATAAAATAGGATACTTAGGCATTAATTAAGCACGGTCGAAAACTATCTATAATATTCTTATTTATTTTTGCCGTTGTAATGTTAAGGCATTCTTTCAAATTACAATTGTTTTAACAAGTGATAAACATAACATTTTTTCACAATCTCCAATATCGCACTTCTAGATTTGTTAATGAAAACATAAAAATCCTGTTAATAAATAGTGTAATGAAAAAAACGCACCTTTACATTTTCGTAAGCACATCCGACTTTTTCCTCGAGAGATTTGAAGCTATCGGAATTTCTCATTTGACCGATCTTTGTCGAAAATCCACTTCCAAAACCACCTAGGATACTAGTCGTTTTTTCAGCAGTAGATTTGAAGACAAACTCGGTTTTTTGAAATCTAATTAAAGAAGAAATGAAATGATTAATTATCCATATTTTCGAAATTATTTTGGACACAGTACATTATTTAAGTTTTCTTTATAACTAATTACTTAATTTGACATATTTGCAATGATTTACATTTTAATAATTAGTGTAAAACTACATCACAACAATTAACTATCAGATTTTGGTATAATTATGACATTAAAAAATATTTAAAACACAATTTAAACTAAATAAATGTATATTTTCCATTATTATTAATATTTAATAAATTATTTCAAGAATTACTCAAATGATGTTTTAAGAAAAATGATTATTAAAAATTAAAAAACAAAATCAAAAAAAGAAAATTGAATGGCTTAGTAAGTTTTAGAATTTAAAACTAATTTTTTTTTTCACTTATTCAATTAATATAGAACTTTTCGAATAAAGTATACTCTCTTAATTTAAAAGTCAGTTTATACAAATTTCATGTTCCTTTTATGCAACATCGTCTTAAAATTTGTAAATAATATTGTACACATCAGAGAACAATAAGTGTCATTTACGATCCTAAAAATATTTATTATTATATATTTATTGTTATTAAGATTTTTAATACGATAAATAACTTTCAATTTAAATTGTTATATAAATGAATATTATTTAAAATGCACAGATATAGAATATATTTTTATTTGTTTGAAATATTTTCATATTAATATTCTTGTAAAAGATACATAAATATCTATATAATTATAAATAAAATATTCTCAAGGAAATCTTGACTAACTCAAAAGCGTAATTTTTTTAATTATTCTAATTTATTAACCATCTAACTTTATAGCATTACCGTAATATATTTTTTGACTTATATTTATTTAAAAATATTACATTTGGTAACTGCAGGGTTGATTAGATATTTAACTTATTTAATATTTCATGAATTAAAATAAAATGAAATGTTATAAGTCTATAATAAATGGTTTCATGTTACGTAAATTAAGAAATTTTTATAATAGACGCAACATTCAAGAAATTTCAATACCTATATCCATTAATTTATCTATCATATCAGTATTGTAAATATAAAATAAAAATAAATTAGGATTTTACAAATTAAGTATTAGTAATTAGCAAGTTAATATTTTTATTATTATTATAATCATTACATATATATTATTCTATTAACATTTAACATAAAAATTCTATACGTGAAGTATATAATATTTGTTTAAAGTTTAAGATATGTTATTTAAATCATTCAATTATTCGACTTTACAAATAATTTATTATATGTAATAATTTTTATAGTGTTATTATAAAATTAAAATATCAAGATTGCGGAAATAAAAATAAAATGTAAAAGTATAATTGAGAAAGGTTGAATGATTAGTAATGAATACATTACATAATAGTAATTTCCATAAAAAAAACATGCATTAATATAAAATTTAAAAATATTCAAAGTAAACAATAAATGTAGTGAATAATTATATCCTCAATACTAATTAATTGTAAATAATTATGAAAGAATTAATAAAGGATAATATTTTTGAAGAATGTATCATAAAAAATATATTCAGTTTCTTGTTAATAATTTATATTTAAGCTTTTTAAGAGTATTTTTGTATTTACTATAAAATTTTAATACATAATGAAATTAAACAAAGTAAAAAAATTCCTATCATATTAGATTGTTATGGATATATATGAAATATAATTGATTCAATTTTGAGTATTACAAGTTCAAAAAATAAGAGATACTTTCAAATTGATTAAATTTTTAAATAAAAAAAATTACTTTATGTTCTTATACTCACAAACTGTTCTCGGAGACCGTTCTGGTGAACCGACCAAGTTTCTCCCCAACATTCTGATAACTAAATGAAACAACTTAACGAAAAATGACAAATAAAGCAAGAACTGCATCATGTAAAATATTTTAATTTTTCAAATGCTATATGAATTAAATAGTATTATTTTTAATCGGCTTTTTAGTTTTTTTTAAATATTTATTCTATTAATTTTAAATTACATCAAATGAATAACTTATTAAACTAGATAGTGAATTAATTTCAGAAATAACAAAAGCTTAGGTACTGCTTAGCTAACATTTAATTTAATTATTTTCAATAGATTAATAATTAATTATTAATTAAATAAATTAATTAAATAATTAATTAATAAATTAATTAAATAATTAATTAATAAATTAATTTAATTAATAAATTAATTAAATAAATTAATTAAATAATTAATTAATAAATTAATTCATATTTTCTTGGAAAAATACATGAAAAGAATATAACTTTACAATTTTTAACAAATGAATAAAATTTGTCTTAATTTTACAAAACTATAAAACTTTAAATAATGTATTTGTATAATTTCATTAAACTTTTTTTTACACACACATATATAATTTTAATGTAGATTAAACTGTAATGTCAATTTACTTTTAATTAAGTATTTTATTATGTATTATGAAATAATGAATACTCATTTATATAAAATTATATAATATGGTTATATTTAATTATAATGCCTGACTGTTCTTAACAACCTATAAATGAAGAAATAAAAAAATATACTCTTACATGTTAAATTTTTAAATCATAAAACAATTATACAGAATAAAACTGAATAAATGAAAACAAAATAAATAAAATAGTAAATAAATCATCAGTACTCTATCCATTAGTTTAATATATAAATAATAAAAACTCAGTCATATAAATAAAAATCAGAAGGGTATGTGCACATACACTTGACTCTCCTTAACATTTTTAAAACTTTGATTGACATCTTCAGTTAATTCTTTCCACATACTGATGCCTAGTTTCCGTTTTAGCTCCTGGGCCATTCGCATTTTACTAGTTAAGACCTCTTTTAATGTCTGAATTTCATCTTCAATCTGTAAAGTATAAACAATTGAATTAAAAATACCGTACTGAAACATATAATTGACTAGAGTATTCAGTTTTCGCAAGTATAACTTTTACATTTTACTGATAAAATACATAAATTTTAAGTATCAATTTATATTGCCCTATACATATTTAAGATTGATTTACTTTATTTATTATTAAATTAATTAAAGTTGCATGAAATTTTGCTTTAGATTTACTTCATTCAATAATACAATAACATTAAAACATTTTAACAAATGAAGGAAACTTTAAATTAAAATCAATCTCTAAATTATTTTTATAAAAAATTTACCCTAGCGAGTTCAGCGCTCCATTCAACCTTTTGTCGCTCTTGTTCTTCCACCGGAAGTTTTTGAAATTCATCCGTCACATTATCATGGATTTGTGATAGAGATTCACTTCTATGAAGAGAAGCATCTTCACCTGAAATTTTTTTTTTTAATTTAATATACATAATTTTCTTTATTCTATTTACAATATGTATGTCTGAAAACTAAAAAAAATCTGTTTTTTAGGCTTCATTTATTTTTTCATTTTTAAAAATATCTTATTAAAATGAACATATATTGCATAATATTAAATAACAGTAAAATGAAATGTATTCAACAAATTTACAAGAACATTCAGGCAATTCTCGTGTACCGATCGTGTATCGATTTATTTTATTTAAATCAATCGATATGCTTTATAACGCTTTATAATTAACTGTAGATATAATGATTTTGAAAATAAAGGATTTCATTTTATCGTTTTAGCATTGATAATATGTATTAATAATCTTATATTTAAGTAAATAAAAATAAAAAAATATATACACATAACATATTGTATATGTAATAGAATATAACAATCATATTAAAAGATTATTAAAAAATAATTAATTTGGCACAAAATATTTTAATTAATATTTTATACTGAAATTTAAATAAATTCTATCTAACAACATTATAATGTTGTTTTGTTATTATAATTATAAATACAATGTTATTTAAAATATGTGTTTTTACTTCATTTTTCATGAGTATTTTTAACAACTTTATTTATTATATATGTTGTACATATATATTTAAGAGATAATCAAAATTTAAAACTTTATCACAAACATAAATTACATTTTAAGATGTATTATTTTCTATATGTACATTTTATTGCATTTTATATTTCCATTTTTAATCGATTATATTTAATAATTTAAATATTAATTTTATTAAAATTTATAAATCAATTTATTATCTGTATTTATATAACATTTATATTTATATTTACAATTAAATTCTTTATAATAAATTTGTCATATAATCAGAAGCATTTTTTTTTAATTTTAATTAATTCGCATATAATATCATATCTTTGCGAAAAAAATTTACTAATGAAATAATATATTAATAATATTCATTAATTATTATTTTTAACATTAATAATTTTTATTCCATAAGTTAAATTATTTCAAACTTATTTAAAAAATTTACTAGTACATTACACTACTGGCAAACAATATATGATTTTAATTATATATTACAAAATAGATTCTATAATACATAATTAGCACATATTAGCTTAATATATTCCAAAAACCTATTTTTATGAACGGTTAAATAAAATAAATTATATTTCGAAGTATATGCTTTTAATAAAGGCAAATCATTATATTTTTAAATTCTATTATTCAATAAAAAAATTATAATAAAAATATTTTTGATATAGAAAATATTTTCTAGTTGAATTAATTAATTCAAGTTTATAAATTCATGTATATATTCTGTAATAATATTTATATAGCTTGATATTAATTCTTAAATTGTAAAATTTTTAAATATTATTAACTTTTACAAGCTGTATTTAGATTATTATGATTATTGATGTTAAATTACTTTCAGTACATTCTGTAATTATTGTTAAAATAAAAATAAAATAAAATTTTATTAAAGTAACATCTTGAGTCTTTTTTTATTTGAACACAATTTAATTTAGAATGTATAGAATATTATCAAATATATCAAAATTATTAGTTATAGTTGACTTAAAATTTAATGAATGTCATATTAATTGATTATATTTTATATCTAATATACATAAATTTTGTTAATTAAATTTAATATTATTTAAATTTATGTTTATTTTACGTTTATTTATATTACATTATTATTTATAGTTGTTTACACGGATTCATTTTTAAATATTGTAAATTGATAATCAGTCTTATGAAAACATATTATAAACGTTACAAAGGAAATAAAAAAAAATATTACAATGTCGATTAAAAATGTTAAAAAGACTTTCAATCAAGCATTAGATAAAATTGAATTTATCTTATTTTAAACATAGTAACTTCAGAATAAATAGTTATATTTCGTTTAAAATTTATTGGATTACATAATCTATTATAGAAACCTATTTAAAGTAATACAAATGAATGATTAAGCAAGAAAAAGAATTAATATTTGAAATAATTTTAATATTTGTCCATTACAATTGAATGAAATTATAATATAAAATCTAAAAGTACATTACAAACAATTTAAACAATTTTTTGTATATAACAAATATTAAGTTTCTTATTGAAATAATATTTAATCTCCAGGACAAACTATTAAATGTATGAATATTTTCTATAAATGTGAACAATCAATAACTAATAAATTATTCGATACTACGTTATATAAATAATGGAAAATTTGTATAGACTGTTAACCTTACACGTTCAACGATTTACATAAAAAGTATCGGAAATAGTTATAAACCATTTCTTTCACTTCTTCTAACGCACTTGTTCGAATTTCATAATTTCTGATAATATTTAAATAGTGTATAGTCTCTCTCACTTGCAGCAAGCCGATATACAACAATAAATATTCATATTAAAATAGACTATCATTATTTGCAATTTCGCTCTCTAATCTGTTAATCTTTACAATTTAAGCTATATTTACATCTACTCAAAGTTGACGATAATGTGCTTATAATAAATTATCAAAATAAGAAGACGAAATGATATACGAAAAATTGTCTTCAAACTGCAACAATTACAACATAATTAAGTAAATTTGTCTTTGATATGCATTTTAAATATTGCATATTTAATTTTGTCAATATATATTTATAAATTTACAGAATGTAACATTAAAAAATTCTATAGTAATCAAATAAAAATAATAAATTAAACTAAAAGAACATAAATAAAATCACAAGACAAAAAAATTCTTCTAGAAAAGCCTCTTTTCAAAATAAAAAAATTAAATTATATTTAATACATAAACTATTCAATATTATAAATATATATTAATATACTTAAAATATTAAATTATTGAAAATAATGAATATTAGAATACAAAATTTGTTAAATCGTATTAAATAGAATGGAATTATAATTTTACCTCATTTAAAATGATTTGAATAAAAGGTATAACATTTTTTATTTTAAATATTAATTTCTACATACTCTTCCAAGTTCTCTTTCCCATCATCTTTGTATTAATGTATGACGTTGTACTAAATTTATAGTTTTTGCCTTATTTGAGAACATTTTTTTGAATTTCGCATATAATATTAAATAAACATTTACAATTTTAACTGTATTACACATATATTATCTTAAATTTTTCTGAACTAATAGTATTGACTCTCTTGACATCAATAAATCATATAATTCAGTTATTCTTTATTGATTTTATTTTAAAAATATTATTAGTGAGTATGCAAATAAATTTTTAACACAATTTAATATTTAACTTGAAGAAAAAATTAACAATTCCTCACAATATTCAATATTAATAACTATAAATAGTTAATGCACTTTTTTTAAAGATTTTTATCGTTTGGTTAAATGAAAAAATTTTTATTCTATCCGCTATATAAATATATTTCTTTAATATTTATTGCTTTACTAATTGCTTTATTTCACGTTAAAGGTGTGTTATGAGACATAAGTTTACATAATTGTTATCTCATTTCGTTGCGATTTCTTTATCCTATAGGAGATATAAGTACAAAGAATGAAATATATTAAACAAAAATTTTTTGGACAAGTATATATTTAATTTTTAAAATCTTACTACTATAATATATATTTTGCTTAATTATTTAATAATAATATAGAATCTACAGTGCGAAATATGAATATAAAATAATTATTATATTATTGTTACTATTACTTATTATATAATACATATTTATAAACATTAAAAATATTTATTTAGTATTTATTTTTTTTAAGTTAAATTTTACAAATACATATAGTAAATTAAAAAAGTACTTTTAACAATGAACTACTACAATTTAGATAGGGACGAAACGTTATAATAAATAATCAAGCAAGAAAATATTGTAAAAAATATTTTTATAGATTTCTGTTTTGTACAAGTAAAATTATATATTCATATTTTCATTATTAATGACGACCCAAAGTGTTTATTAAATATTTTGGTAAGTTAGTATTAAAGTTTTGGAAAATACGGATCCTGTTGAGATATATGTATATTAGTGTAACTTAAAAATAATATTTAATTAACTATTGTTCTAAGTCAAAATAATTTTAATTTTCAATGTAAATACAAAATTTTTAATTGACGGTGATTGGCTAAAGATATATTTGTTTTGTATATTAAGGCTGTTCTACTTTGCCAGATTTGCTGAGTTTTAAATTATGTGAGGGCATAATACCAGTATTAATTCATTTATTAATTACTTAGTAATTCTAGTATTTATTACATATTAATTCTATTTAATTTTAATTCTTTAAAATTATTTTTATGCTGACTGATAATCATTTTTAATAAGATCATTATATATTGAATAAAGTGTTTATTATAAAATTTCTGAAAATATATTAATAATAATACTAAATGTGAATTCTATTTGTATTGAACTTAATAAAATGTATTTAATATAAACGTAATTATTTATTATAAATACAATATTTGCGGTAATATTTTCAAAATAATTATAATACATTATAAAATACATAAAAATACTATTAATGTTACTAATCATAACAAATTCATATTTAATTTGTATTTACTAATGCTTAATTTAATAATAAATTTATTAACTAATAAGGAATTTAAAGAAAAGATTTAAATAAATTACTCTTACAACTGACAGAATATTTTTAAATTATAAATAAATAAAAGTATAATTTATTAAATTTTATTAAATTTTTCCCAGATTATTTATTAAAAATTATATTAAATGATCTTGATTTATACGGTTTTATTAAATAATATCTATTTACTAATTACTATTTTCAAAATTATATATAAAACGTGTTATACATTAAATTTTATTTTCAAAAATAAAACCATGCATGCTTACTTAAAATAAACCTGTTTTAATTTTTGGAAATTAGTGCTTCATTGATTCTATACAGATAAACAAATATAAATACTAATTATATAATTATATTAGTAATTTATTATAGTTATTAGTAATAATTTATTAGTAGTATTAGATTTATTATATAATTATATAATTCTACTGTTTTGGTGCCTAATAGAGAATGATTTCTACAATCGAATGTCTAATGTTCTGTATATCATTACCATGTGAATGCTATACAAGTTAGAATAGCAGAAACGTTATATTGTAAAATTATTCATGATTGCAATTTATTAAGTGTATTGCTACTGTACACATATATGATTACAAATCTAGTATATGAAAATATTTTATTGAAATAAAATATATAATGGTGGTAGAAAGCTTTAAATAATTTTTTTATATACATTAGAACTTTAATTCATATATATACTTAAAAAATTCTTATTATAAGAAGCCTTAAAATATTATTATTGATAAAATCAAATTAACAAATATTAAAATATTAACTTTATTGTCCTTTCACATACTTTCTAAACTCATTGAGCTAAAAATATCAAACAGGCGCAAATTTGTTTTTTTAAACACTTTCTTCTAGAAGCCTGACAGTATTCATTATTAAAGAGAATTTAACAGTAAGAACAATTTTAATTATTTAAAAGATATTATATGATAAACTGTTGTAAATAAATTAAAAATTTTATTAACTGAAAATTTTTAGCAAAAACTATGCTTATAATAAAAATAATAAACATTGTTTAAGTTAAATTAGATAAATTTAACCTAAGTCAAGTTATAGATTTTATTTTTATTAAACATTAAACAAAGTTTCATAAATTTTGGAAAATATTTTAATAAAAATATCTGTCTATTTGTCTTTTGATGATTCATAGAAACAGGTATAAATATTTTTTTCAATATTTATTGCTTTATAATTTTAATCGAAGTTAAGCGATTTATTAAATTTAAATTTTTAAAATCTTAAATAGTAATTGATGCATATAATCCTTTTAAATCAAATAAAAATTTGATTTTATTACAAATCTTATTACAAATCTTATTACAAAGGTTAGAAGTTGCACCAAAATATTATTAAGATTAGATTTTAAAGTATAAATAATTTTAATTGAGACTAAAAATCTCTAAATGAATAAATATTAAATAATTATATATTTAATAAATTTGCCTATAAATTCTATATATACATATATATATATATATAATGTATATTATAATGTTATTAAAATACAAATAAATGAAAATTTCATTAAAAAACTTCTTAATATTATTCTAAACATTTATATTACACTTCTATTACTGACTATGAGTTTATACATAAAAAAATTTTTTTATATACTTATTAGATACTTCATCTTTTTGACTTTCTTCAAGAAATATAAATTTTATAAAATTGTATCAATTAATATAAAATACATAGATAATGATCTCTTCTAATATTTAATAAATTTAATATTAGTTTTTATTTCATGAAAGTTTATAACAAATTTATATAATACATTTTTTGGAACAAATTTTGGTAATATTGTAATTTTCAAAAATAAAAAACTTAAATATAGAGTAAATATTAGAGGATATATAGAATATCGTCATAACATAATAATTAATTTTACATAAATAGAAATATTTGTAAACAAAACAAATATGAAGATATAAAATAAGCATTTGGAAGTATATTATTAAAACTGTATATTATACACAGATTTTGTTGACATGGTTATGTTCATTTATTTATCTAGTTACTTTATAATTGGAGATGGATCGATAAAGCTATTATTGCATGTAAACATTAGTGTAAAATGTATTACACCAATTGTCACAAGCTACCTAATCATAACCTACCTAAAAAACACAATTGAAATTGGGACACTAATTTATATAAAGTAAATGTCCAATGCTTGAAGAACGAACAACACGCACACCTATTGGTACTTACCTGTTGGTACATTGTTCATCATGTTTATATTATCGTGGTTCAGAATCAATAACACTATTTTCTTTAAATTATAAATTGGTACAAAAAATACAAAATGATAAAACAAGTACTTATTATAATACAAATTATACAGTTCTATAGACTTTTTGGTTCATTAGTCCATTACAAAATTTATTCAGTAATATTTCCTTGTTACACAATTTTTTAAGTATTTAGCAAGCTTTTTTACTTTTTTCCTATGACTTAATCCTTTATACTTTTCCTATTGTAAATTATGTGAAAGATGACGTGGTTGTACTACATTAAAGCATACGAAATACGCAAGTAAGACAATAGAAATTAGTAAAAAAATTGCTAATAACCATACTGATCGTAAAAAAATTTCTTACTAGCAATACGCTAATGCCCCCTGCGGTAAATGATAGAAGCTGTCACATAATAATAAAAGAGAAGAGAAAAAGAACAGGAGAAAACAGGTATATTAGATAATATAGATAATAGAAGAAAAATATCAATGAATACGTTAAAATGTAATAGAGTGTAGGAAATAAACCATTCGAAAAATTATTTATCGAAATGATACTATATATATATTTATTTTTTTATATAAGTTAATTATCAAAAACTAACATGAACATCAATAAAGTTGCTATATATGACAATTGTAATGAATGTAATATAATTTAAATTAAAAATAATTTATTTTGAGAATAAAAACAATTCTTTTATATTTATTATATGTTTTTCAATTCTATTTTTGAAACATTATTTCATATGTTGAACGGTAATATTTTTTCTTGAATAATTGAAAACACTATTGTACATACATAGTTTATTAATCAAATTAATCATCTTGTCATCCTGAATACATTAAAAAATGAATACAAATTAAAATAATAATATAATATAAACTTTCAAGGCAAAATTATAATTTGATAATTAAAATAAAATAAATTTGAAACATTATTTTAAAGTAAACACATTTATTCTTTTCAGATTCTATTCTAAAAAACTTTTTTATATAGAATATTCTAATTGCAAAAATATTTGTATCAATATATTAAAAAATATATTATGGTTATAGTAAAAATATATTGTTTATAAAAAATATCTAGATTCTATACACGACTTTCTATTACAATATGTTTAACTAGACCAAAAGAATATTTTGTAAATTATGTAAATTGTCAATTTCAAGTTTTCCTTAATTATTATACGTGTTTGGTATAAAAAAAATTATTCTACATAAATTATATAATTAAAAATAATATTTACAAACAGTTTTTAATTTGATTCGATAAATAATATTATATTGTAAAATGTTATGTTATGTTATGTTACTCGCTAATCTTCAATTCTACCCTCCTTTCATTTCGCCGCGTATCTTTTGTATAACAAATGGAACGACTTATCCTTAAATGCATTGAATTAAAGACTAAGTTATAATATAACATATAAAATAATTTTATAAATTCTTACTAGAATATAAACGCAAATATATCAGAATAATATTTTTTAATATTAATTAATAATAGATAATAAATAAATATGTACTATTAGTTATTATTAAATTAATGAAATTAGTAGACAAAGTATTTCTTAATATATAATTATGGCAATAGAATGAAACTAAATTTGTAATAATATTATAGAGTTATTAAAAATGATTTTACTCATTAATATTTAATGATCGTTGAAAATCCTTTTAGTTTCTATGCTTGCTATCTTATAGATTCAATAATTAGTATACTTCTTTAAAATTAAAATGAGCGCGCATATACAAACCCAGTGAATACAAATTTCTCCATGCGCAGAATTCAAATAACTATTCGATTTTGGATTTCTCATCCCTTACTTAATCTCTGATTCTTAAACTCTTATTTACTCATTTCATTCTGTTTAAATTAAATATAAAAGATACTAATTTATTATGAAAAAAATTACCAAATATATAATAAGAATTTTGAATATGACAAGATTTTATACAAACACTACCGTAATTACTTTTTCCAAATCAATTTATAAATAATTTTTTTTTAATGAATATTTAAATTTGTAGAGAATAATTTATTTACAGTTTAAACAAAAAATTCATTCAATTCCTGAACCAGAAATTCATTTACCAAAACCAGAATACAATATAGAATTTCTTTGTAATCCTTTAAATCGGGACCTAATTGCTGATAATATTAAAAAGAGGAAAAGTTCTGGAAACATAGACAAAGTTCTTGAATTTCATAGAAAGGCAAATTCAAAAAAACTTTTTGAAGAATTAAGCAAGATACCTAATCTCACACAATCAACAACAATGAAATATTTAGAAAATATACCAACTATTCTTAGAATAATAGGAAATTTGCCTAAATATGATTTCAAAGCTAAAGAATTCTCTAATATAGCAACCAATTTAAATTTATTAATAAATAATCATTTAGGACCAGTAACTGGATCCAGAAGTTATGTTCTAATAGGAGATTTAGCTGAGTTAGAACAAGCTTTAATAATGTATACTATAAAAGAATTATTAAGTCATAATTTCCATTTAGTTTCAGTACCAGATATTTTACCTTCTCAGATTCTTGAACGATGTGGATTAATTAATGATGGAGACAGAAAACTTGTATATGAAATTGAACCATATTATGGAAATGTATTCAGTCTTTCTGGAACAGCAGAAATGGCATTAGCTTATAAATTGTCTAATAAAGTTTTTTCTTATGATGAACTACCGATTAAGCTAGTTGCTGTGAGTAGATGTTATAGAGCGGAAATTTCTAATTTAGTTGAAGAAAGAGGTATTTATAGGTAATAATTTAACAATACTTTACATATTTATATATTGAATAAAGTAAAAATTAGAAGTATGTACAATATAAAATAGTATTTTTGTTTATTAAATATTAACAGTCAATATAATGTATACAGATATACTTTGTATAAATTCATAAATATCAAATAAAAAATATTTCATATTAATTCCTAAATTTTTATATTTACATATAACATAATATAGTGTAAAAATGTATTTTAATATATTTTTCCAGAGTTCATCAATTTACAAAAGTTGAAATGTTTGTTGCTTCTGAACAAAAGCATTCAATTAAGATCATGGAAGAAATTATATCAATTCAAGAAAAGTTGTTTGGGCAACTGAATTTACATTGTAAATTATTAGATATGCCATCAAATGAATTAGGATCTTCAGCTTATAGGTAATATCATTTATTTAGATTGAACTAAATTTATATATTCATGTTACATGTTTAAATATTTTTATAAAAATTGTAAATATTAAGAAAAATATTTTTGTAAATTAAAAATTAACAAATATGAACATTATATTGATTTAAATACTCTGCTAATTCATATTTCATAAAGTTAACATTTCAATACTTAATTCTTAAATGAAATTAAATAATTAAAGGATGTTCATTTACTTATAAACATAAACTATTATTAATTTATTTTTAACGACTGTATATTTATTTTAAATAATCTTAATAAAACTGTTTCCATTATTTAATTAAAAATTTATTATAAATTTCTTATAGGAAAATTGATATTGAAGCTTGGATGCCAGGTAGAGCACGATTTGGAGAAATATCAAGTTGTAGTAATTGTACAGATTATCAATCACGTAGGCTTAGTATAAAATATAAAAATAGTAATGGTATAATAATTCATGCACATACATTAAATGGAACTGCTTGTGCAATACCACGGATGCTTATAGCAATTTGTGAAACATATCAACTTTCTAATGGTGATATTATGGTTCCAGAATATTTAAAACATTTTATGAATAAAAAAAGTATTATTAGAAAACAAAATATACCATCTGTAAATATATTCAATAGTCATTATAAAAGATAATATATTATAACCAAAATTGTTTAATAAATATTTAGTTGAATAATGTTTATACAAATTACTAAAAATTATTTATAATTTTATTTCTTTTACTTCTATTAAAGAAAATAAAAATTTGAAAAGGAATTTTGATATAAATATTTGATGAATATCAAACATCACCTGACAGTATATTTCTATAAACTAATAAATTATACATTATTAAATAAGGATCTCGAAAAGTATACGTATATAGGCATCATTCGTTTTCTTTGTTATTTTGTATAAGTTTACAATGGATTTATAAAAATCATAACAAAATACTCTTTTATAACATAATACAATTCAGAGATATTGAATATTCACAATTATCTTCCACACATTCATCAATACTCTATTATCAATTATTCACATTGTATGTCCATTTACGATAATATTTTTAAAAAATCAGAAGCTTGGTCAAATTCATTCCATTTTATTTTTTAGAAATCACAAAGTTTTTTTTAATACAGAAGGTACTAAATATCCACCAGAATTAATTTTTTACAATTTTGGTAGAATAATATGAACTGTTTTCTGGCAATGTGCTTGAATGTATCTAAAAATAAAATATTACAATTAAAAATAAATCATATAATTTGTTTATTTTTAAAATAAATAATTTCTCCTTTTATATTAGTAGTCAAACGTTAAAAATAAAAATTAGTAAATATATATGAAATATTTAAAATTAATTTTGATCATTTTTTATTCCAATTACATAGTTAAGTATAACATAAAATAAATTAGTAAAACTAAAAGAAGTTAATATACAAATAAAAAAATTTACATTTTATTTTATTATATAATTTAATAAAAAAAATCATTAATGCATAAATTTTACATACCTTAAATGTATTAGTCATCATCTTCAGATTCTGATTCCTCTTCTGCATTTTGTAACCACTCCACAAATCTTTTCATTTGGTCTAGAAAGAGCATTTTACCTTTAACAGAATGCCCATCTTTATACCACCTTAAAATCACTTCTTCTGATACAACGTCCGCTATAATAAATAAAATTATTATTAACTGGTTTTATAAATAACTGTAAATATTTTTTATAAGAATGATTGTTATTATATTTGTAATAATATTTAATTTACATTATAGGTTCACCCATTACAGTTTTTATTATTCAATTAAATAAATATTAAAATTAAATTATAGATTGAAATGTTTTAAAATAATGTAACATATAAAACGTTTTTAAACACTATATAAAAAATTAATTTCCATACTTTTATAGAAGAGCAAAACGATTTTGTGGAAGACTTTCATGAAATTCATATTCTCATAGCAAAATTCTTGAACTTTAAGAATTAGAGCAAGCTCAGATTTAGCAGAATTAGTGAATGCTCCAAACAATGGTGTATAAACCTTTAAATGTTTTAAGGCTTGTTCAGCAACTAACTCTTCTTTTTTGTTCCATTCTGCTTGGCCCATTACTACATTCCAAATCTACATATACACAAATAAATTTACATAATTTCTGCATATATAAATATTAAATTTTCATTCTAAATAAAAATATTTCCTATAATTTAATTGATGAAGATAATATTATTAATACAATATTATTAATCTGTAAATTTTATCACAGCATTTTATTTTTATTTTAATTACGTTACATTTTTATATTAAACTAAGAAATTTTTTATATTAATCACATTTAATAAATTTTGTCCATTACTTTAATAGAAACAATTTTAAAATTTATAAAATGTTAGTAAAATATATAATATAATTACCAATCCAATAATATCATGTTCAGGAATATTACATCGTTGAGCCATTTCTTTAAGATCACTTACAATATCTTTGATTGGCTTGTTATCAGCTAAATCATCCAGCAGTAACTGTTGTAGGTCACGTTTCGCTTCTTGGCTTGCTTGAGCTTTATGTAATTTTACAATATCAGCCAATTCAGCAGTTTCAAAAACAGATCTAAAATATTCATCTGTTCGTTTGTTTGGTGGCACAAATTCCATCAATCTGTAGTATTAAAAGAGATTTAAAGTTAATAATTTGATTAAAAATCTATAATTTATGCGATAATAAAAACTTTAAATGTATTATTACCGCCCTTCAATGCATCCACGTTTAAGTGCAGTCATTAAACTGGGTAAGCCTTTTTCTTGTTTCCATGTAACAAATACTTCAAGAAGAAAATCTAATGCAAGATTATCCTTTACAAGATGTTCATTAATTAAAACAGACAGAACAGTTGGTGGTACAGCTCCGTTAGAAATCCACAATGCAGTCATTCTTGCTAACTTAATCCTTTCTGTTGGAGTAAATCCTTTCATAAATACTAGAACTTTTTTCATTTCTTCTTCGAACATTTTCTCCAAATACTTGTATCGTCGTGTAAGTTTAATGAAAACCTAATAAAATAAACAAGTAATATGTTTAAAAGACAAATATTCAATATTTCAATACCGAACATATATAGAATTAATCTCTATTAAAGTTTACCTTTTGAAAAACTGCAATTAAAAAATATAATTTAAAAATTCTTATATAATTTGATTATAAAATATACAATTATAAATTTTTATGCTTTATTTGTAAATAAAAAGATGTGAAAAAATTTATTGATAATTAATGTACTAGAAATCGAACCCATAATAGTTTTTTATTATAAATTAAATCTAAAACTGATACGTATATCATACTGTTAATTTTTTACTAAGAATGGAATATATGAAATGAAATAAAACATCTAAATAGAGTTATTACAATACATAATCAAATGATACAGGAACTGATTCTATTGTTCTAATGGTTTTACAATACAAAATCTTATTAACAATGATTCTGATAAGTTTACTTGAAGTAAAATGTTCAATACTGTTCATAAATTAATTTATTTGCATATAAAAATTTCTAAAAGTATTAGAATGTATAAAGCAAATAAAAATTTTATTCAACAATTAAATATATTTTGTATTTTATTATACTTAACACTAATTTTGTTATTCTAAAGCCTTTATTAAATTAAAAATGTTATTCGACAGTTTTATTTGATAAAGTTCAGTTAGTACTTTTACATAATGCAATAGCATGAGTTAATTAAACTAATAAACTAAACATATTATTTTCATCTATAATATTAAATTCAATATTTGATGATAAATCATAATAGTATCAAATTAAAAACAAACAAGAATTTCAAAATATGTTAAAATTTAATTTTATTTAACCCTCATTATAAATATGCATTAAAATTAAATACTAGTATTTATTAAATTTAATTACAATTTTAAAAGCTTTTATTTAATTTAATAATTGTAATAACGAATACACTTAAAGGTATAATACCATATGCAGAAATGGAAATTTTAACTGTTTATATATAATTTATAAAAATTAATCCTACCTGTTCAAAATTGCGCATTGATTCCATATCTTCGGATTGTTCAAAAACACATGCCATTGTTTTGACTGGTTTATCTCCATCTTGAGCAATAGATCCACCAGGTACTAAAAGACCACCTGCTATTAAAATATCAAAAAGAACTTCACCGTAACGACGATAATCCAACTTTGAACCAGCAGTATCCAAATATTTTGAAACAGCTTCTAAGTCATTGCCAGCCTTTTCAAGACCAGAAAGAATTGCATCACGAAATCCAGTTGGATCATATTTTTCTTTTTCATCTATAAAGCAGAAGCAGCAAATAAAACAAAAAATGAAAGATACTGTAATAGAATGTTTTATTATTATTTATAACTATAATTAAATAAATTTTATAATTATATAATGGTTTTATTTAATATATTTAAGTATGCAAATGTTTACATTACAAATAATTTTATAAAATATAAAAATAAAAAGATATTGATAAACAAAGTCTAATTTTTGAGAACTAAAAATTGTCAACTTAACCAATGCATAAAAACAAAAGTAATTAATTTTGCATAGAACCAACATACCTCTTTTTCTGGTCTTTATGCGTTGACCTGACAACACTGGCTTTTCTATTTTTTGACTCATACAATATTCCTCTATAATATTATTAAATAAGTTATTAAAAAATATATGTTATTAAAATATTAATGTGCATAATATAAGTAAATAGCACAAAATGTTCATTTTTTAATTTATTCTTAACAATTTTAATATTGTTTGATATGCATAAATGTGGAAAATTTTTAATGGTATAGGTAATTTAATAACAGTTACATCAAAAATAAAATAGTATATATCTTATAAATCTTCAAAATGAATAGATTTAAAACAAAGTTATTTAACAGAGGTTAAGATTTACTTAAAAAATAGATAAAAATGTGCAACCAAAAGACAAAATTTATTCTAACGCTAATGGAGAAAACAAGAATGGAAGTATAAAAACAAATTCCAGAGAAAACAAGATTTAAATATTGAGAGAAAATTATCAATACAATTGAATTTGCATATTGCAACTTTAATATCTCGTTACCATTGATTACAAAAATTGTTGCATCTACTTACTTATTACACGTACGATTTAAGAACTCTTTATATGATTCTTGTTTTTTCAAGTTAGTTATTAAATTTGAGGTATTTTATTCTGTATCAATGATATTCCTCTAATTTTTTTCACTGTATATTATCGACACGCTATTATAATTATGCTTAAGAACCGACAAAGGGCCACTTATACTTTGTTCTTCCGCTTTCTTTCTTTCTCTCTTAGATCGTCATACCCCCCTCTATGTTACACTCGCCCTATCGTAACTTTGACAAACATGAAATTCTTTTCTAGTTTAACATGGAGTCTAAATCGAATTCAAAACTTCACAAATTTATGAAATATTTCTAGAGACGAGTTTAGATATAGAATTAAAGTACTTAAAATTTGTTAATTCAATGTTTTCTTTCGATGCTTTTTGAATGAATTAATTTTAACAATCTGATTTCAATTATAAATTAGATAAGTAATGTCATATAGAAAAATACATTATAATTCAAATATAGATTTATTTTTATGTAATAAATATTAAGAAATATAATTAAAAAAGTGATAATTTTTATTAAATTTTACTAAAGCATACCAATCAACAAAACAGGAAGTTGATAATTTATAAATTTTTAAATCGCTTTAATTTTCTTAAATTATAAATTTATTTTATTTTTTTGATAATTGTTTAGAATTTTTTATGAAAGTGAATTTGGAAAAGAGTTGTTGAGCCTTAAATGATAAATGTGGTGGTAAGTATTTTTAAAAAATAAAAATAGAAGAATATCAGGATCATTTTGGTTGACATTTTATTTAGTAGATGGCACTTTAGCTTTTACATTATCACGATTTAATTTAGTAATGAGTAGTTTTATAAATACAAAACTAAGTTTGAGAGATTCATAAATTTGTTCAAAATGTATAAATTTTTACATTTAATATATTATTTAATATATTAAATTATGGACTGTTACGATATCGATGGATGAAGCCAATGGCGGCAAAATTTAATGTTTTTCTTCGTAGAAGAGATTTAGACAAATTTTAGGTTTTAGTTCTCTTTCCTCTAGTTCTTTTTAGGGCGTAGATTTAAATTATACTTTTAATATATTTATTATGTATTACTTATATAATAATTGATTATCTATTACTTAAAATATTTAATGTTAATTATATAACAATAATCAATGTACATACTTCATTTAATTAAAATTATTTAATATGTAATTGTAGAATAATAAATGTTAAATAAAAAATAAATGACAATTAATAATTGATTTTAATAATAATTTTACATTATACAGTATATATGTATTAAGGAAAATATTTTTTTTTCTATTATATAAATAAATATAGAGTAATATTTGGGATTTCTTATGCTATTTTCTAAAAAATATTCTGACCAAGAAATTTATTATGTTATTTCTATTATTAGTATATTTGTTATTTAAAAATTATACAATTTGAAATTAGTGTCTACATTAATCCACATAGTTATAACTATTGTTAGTACCAAATTCAATTTTATTTTTTATAATATATAAATTATGTTATTAAGTATATTATACGGTTTATTTATATTTAATATATGATAACATTTTTTCATCGGTAATTGTTTTTTTAATTATTATTAATATATATGAAAAAGCCTATACTTGAATAATTTTAAATTACACAACTAGTATATTATATTAAATCAACTACATTGTGTAATTATAAACAATTATAATCACCAAAATTAATATAAATACCAATGATCAATTTATACTCATTCTCTTTATACTACATGAAAAATTTATTTAAAAAATGATTAATGTAATTAATATAATAGATTTGATTGTTGGAAATTAAAATAAAAAATTGTTCTGAGTACTGTAATTAATATATTAAATATATCACTTAATGAATATTTGATAAATAAATATTTTATATATTAGATAAATATTGTATTATAAATATTTGATCTATTATATAAATATTGAATCACAAATATTGTTATAAATAAAATATGCTACAAAAATATTTATTCATAATATTGATTTATATAACATTTTGGAATTAAAAAAATTTTGTTTGTTTAAAAGCGCCAATAAACTCAAACTGCGTGAATGCATGTTTGAGAAAGTATGCAATGTAATAAGAACATTTTAATTGTTCGTTAATTGTCTGTATACATGTGAAACGAGTTATTTTTGGAATTTGTACTATATTTTTAATTATGGACACCGAATTGGCATATTATAAAATATATTTATATAAATATAAAATGTATGAAATCATTTACTTGTAAAATGTATTTGCTTATAAAAACATAAAATAAAATTCTTAATACTTTAATTAATTAACAAGAAATTATCGATTTTATTTAATTTGTATAAACAACTTTAAAAACTAATTGATTTTTTTAAAACAAATAGACTATTACTTAACACTTCACAATTAATTAATTATGTATATAATCTATTACTATAAGACAGAACTGAATCAGAGAGAAAAGATATTACTCTTCTTTATCCGGTATCACAAAAGAAATGCAATATATAATAGAAACTTGATAATAAATATATATATATATATATCATTCCTTGATTTGATATTTTTTTGTCCTTATTAAGTTTATTTAGTTTCCATTCTATTTTCTTTATGAATTAATATTCATGTAATATAAATAACATTCACTTTATTTAAGTTTTAAAATATAAAATTATTTAAGATGAAAATCTTGATTACTGTTTGTGTGCATTATTTAATAGTATCAATTTAAATAAATAAATATAATTAATCACATTTTTCAGTTTTATTAAAGTATGAGTTATTTGGTAATAAACAAAACAATATTCCAATTAATGTACAAATAAAAAGAATTTTTATTTATTAATTACTATAAATTACTGGTACAATTTATATATACATAATTTACCTATTAAGGAACATAAAAATAGATATTTGTATAGAAGTTATATTTATTTTGAATATATCAACAGACTTACATAAAATATTGTACTTTATTAAATGTATATAATAAATAACCGATTGAATAGTAAGCAAATTTATATTTTTAAAATTTTTTAACTTTAATTTTTTATTGAAAGATATTTTTTCAAATTTCCAAAAATCTTTAATAATAGATTTATTTGCCATGAATATAATCTTTTTTTCTTTTTTCTAACATTTTGTTGTACATTTGAATTTTTTTAAAATGAAAATTTATAAAAATATGTTTATTTATATTCCTCAATTCTCGGTTACATAATGCAAAGATTGTAATATTTTGTTGATGTCATGAAATAGCAAAAAATATATTTTAATAAGGTTGCTGATTCTACAAAAATAATTCATTAAATTTTCTATTTTCAAATAAACTTATACCAGGACAAGTAAAATTAAAATTAAATTAAGCGATTCCGTATAAAGTATTTGAAATTAGTAATGGATATGCTTTTTTTCTTCTTCATAATATAATTAATAGAATTTATTATTTCCTTTTTAACGAGTTTGCACTATCTTTTATTTTATTAATTATATATAATTTAAAGAAAGTTTATTAATTTTGATTTACCATTATACAATACATTAATATTTAATATTTTGTTTTTTATAAAAATTTATATTGGGACAACATAAGTTTAACTCGATGTAATTTTTTATACGATAAATAAACAGGATTATATTTTTGGAAGATTCATGAGAAAATAAATTAATATTTAATGATAAATTTAATAATTAATATTTAATAAACAAGTATTTAATATCATGAAAATATTCATATCATATTGTGTTTTCTATTTATTATGTCGATATTCGTATTATGATTAATTATCATATAACTATCATTCCTCACACGTCTTTCATTATATAAAAATAATATTCTTGTCACCTCGAGCACTTTTTGGGTCATTAAAAAAATTAGCATTAAAGACAATTTTTTATTTAAAGTTAAATTGATTACTAATTCATGTCAAGTAAAGTTTGTTTCTTTTAGACAATGCACGTAAATCTTACGCGTGATCTTAAACATTATTTAGTGATGCTATGCTATGCCTCGACTAACAATGTATTTACTTGTATATTTGAATATTATAGTTACATATATAAATTTGTAATATTACATTTATAATTTACTATTGATAATTTCCATGTGCATAAGAATGGAAGAAACAATAAGCAATGTTTAAAATCCTTAGTATTTTATACGCTTTTATCAGTTTTATAATATTAATTTACTTACATAAAAATATACAATTTTGTCTATACTTCAAAAATATTCTTTAATTCTTTAAGCATTGATAATTCTTCTATTTTAAGATTTTATACTATTCTTGTATTCTATATTCAATGGGGGCGTATGTAATCTGATACATGTTCATAAAAGTAAAGTGAGGAATAAATAAAAAAAATATCTTTTTCTAAACAGGTTTTTATTTAAAAGAATATATATTTTATATAAATGTATTATATAAATTTACATTATTTAAAAAGCATACTTTGTGCAAGAGAAATTTTAAATATGTTTCTTCAAAATTTACATTTATAAATAAAAATTCCAAAATTAAGAAAAAAATAATTGTATAATTAAAAAAACTTAAAGTCTTACATTTCACGCACGTTAATATAATATAGGTTCATTTATATTTTTAAGACACGATAACATTTCGCAATAGAAAATTTAATTTAATAAAATTCTACTGTACTCCCTTTCATTATTGAATTCTTTATTATAATATTATTTTTATATTTTAGTATAAAATTATGACAATGTTTAAAAACTTAATAAGAATGTATTAAGATTATTTTAAATTATTAGAATTATGATAAAAAAATTTAATTACAAGTTAATTAATATGATAAATTACATAAGATTCATATTTATCGAAATTATACTTAGATTAAAAAATCACAGTAAAGAATTTGATAATTCATTTAGATTTGATATTTTATTACTTATATTATTTTAGAGCCTATATTGTTTACACTCTAAAATTCCATTTCCATTTCATCTATGATATTGTAATTATTTTAATAAAAACGAAATTTAGAATCACGAATATTTACGTAATACTTAAAGTTCTAAAAATTATTTTAGATATTAATTTTCATGTAAAACAAAATTAGTGTCTAAATGATGTCAACGTTTTTCTTTTATTCGCTTGCATATTTCTTATTTTCGAGTTGTGTTGTCTATCCACCTAGTGAATTTGTATCAGCTGGATTAACTATCAAGAATATTTTTGCAAATTTATTGGGCAACGAAAATGAATTTTTTATACAATATCACATAAAACGAAGTATCGTTACTGTACTTGTTCATTCAGTACTTCCTTTTGGTATCATTTTTATTTTTAATTCATAACCAATAATAATAATTCTATGCTTACTTATTGTATTAACTAAATTGAAAATAAAATTGAAATAATTTAAAAAACATTATATAAACTATAAGAAAGTATGTTTTGCATTTTTTTATAAGGTTATGTTTATTCATTATTTTATTGTTTATAAAGCATCAAATAAAAAATAGTAATTAATTATTAATATTATTATTTACTTAGTTTTCTAAAAAAATTGTGTATATTATAAATAAAAACATAAATATTTTAATACATAAAATAAGAATATTATGTATTTGATCAATTATAAACTATACAATTTTTTTAATTATAAAATTAATTTGAACGTTTTTAGGATATTTATTGGGTCTTATTTTAACTGGAAATATTGATGCTGATCAAGTTTTGGTGGATAATGGAAATCCATGGTGGTTGATTCTTATTGTCTGTACTCTTCTTGGTCCTTTGTTTTTACTATATAAAATTTTACAATGGTCTTCAAATAATTGGTCGACTTATCCAATAGCTAAAAGTCTTGCAGTTTATTGTAACAATACAACATGGCAATCTGTTGCAACAGATATAAATATTGAATTTTCCCGGTAAAACTAATATTTTAAATATTTTTAAATATAAAATTTATATTAAAAACAATTTCTTCTATGATTAATTATAGGGTAAATACAATTACCATCAATACAAATAGTATAACAAAGGTGGTAGCTACAGATAATTGGATTATAAAAGTTACTCCTTATCAATTATATTTTGCTCACCAAAGTGATACATCATTAATTGTCAATAAAAGTGATACTCATAATTTATCATCAAGTACAAGAGGAAAGATTCAATACATTAGTATTAAAGTAGTTTTTTTAATCTTACTTTAAATAGAGAAGTTATATATATATTTTTTTTTTGTACCATTTTTTTTATTTTAGATAACTCCAAACCGATCTGGTGCCAGAGCTTTTAATATTAGATTGAAAGCTTTAGATTTTAAAAACTTACAAGATAAAATAACTCGACCAATTATTGTTCTTGAAAGTGTAGTGTTTCACAGAACTTTATTGGATAAATTTATTGAAATTTTTAAAGAACAAATAGCTCAAAATCCAGAATTTGAAACTACTCAGGTATTATAATTCATATTACAATATCTGTAATAAAATTTATATGTAAGGATATTAATATTAGTTATTTTAAAAATTTCTAAACAAAATTATATATTTTAATCATTAAATTTGTAAACATATTTATAATTGTTTTTAGGAATTAGATCAATGTATGGGTTGTATGCAGGTCATTCCTAATATAAAATTAAATAAGCTATGTAGTAATAACGTTCTTGTACAGGATCCATGTGTTTCCTGTTATTGTCGTCCATTATGGTGTGTCGATTGTATAGCAAAATGGTTAGTGAATTTGTAGTTAAGCAATAATTGATTATTGATCAATGTTACAAATTTTGCACATAGAATTATGATTACTACCATTAAACTTATTTTAGAAAATACCAAAATCAGTTTTTAATTTCAGAAACTGATTGATATTAGATTATTAATTATACAATTAATTTTTAAATTACACATATTAATTATTGCTCATTATTGAAATCATTCAAATGTGTAAAAAGTATAAATTTAAATCTGTAAATGTTTTTCAACTATATATTAATGATATTAATTATTTATGTAGATAAATTAAACAGTAAAATTAATAATTGATCATAATATTTTACTATTTATACAGAATTAAAATTATTAATACTTAACTTATAATTAAAACTATAATTATATACTATAAATTTAAACTATAATTAAAACTTATTAATAATATAATACTTTATTAATCAGGTTTGCCTCTAGACAAGATAAAACAGCACCAGAAACTTGGTTATCTTCTAAATCTACTTGTCCAGTGTGCAGAGCAAAATTTTGTATATTAGATGTAAGTTATGTTAAAAAAGTAGATTCATAATATTGCAATTATATTCAAAATATAAATATTGTGTAAATACTAACAAAAATGTCTATATTACTTTAATTAATGTGAAGATTAAATGTAATGAATTTTATTAATTAATATTTCCAATTTCATATTAATTAATGAATTATTCATTTTTTATATTTTAATTCAGTTTATATAGAATGTGTTACTCTGTTTTTATAATAAATTACGAAATATCTTAAAACCTGTTTTATATGTATTAAAATTGATTGATGTTTAGTAAATTAGTGCATATGATTTTGTAGTATAATCCACATTTAAAATGTACCTACTTTAATAATAAATATAAATTCATTAGAATAATATTGCATATAATTTAATATCTAATACAATCTGTTATGATAATACATGCATATAACTTAATATCTTAAATTTCATTAAAACAGAAACTCTTTATATAAAATAATTTTAGTTTTAAACGAATAACTTACTTTATAATAAAACATACCATAATAGTTATAAATTCAACAATGCATAGAAAAATAATCTTTCTAAGTAACCATGAGACGTGGTGCAATGTTCATGGACATAAGTTCTTGAAATAACAATTTTGCTGCATAAGGCAACTTTACTTGAGATATTTGTATTTTATTTTTACATCCTCTGCATTCAAAAGTATTATTTCTAAGATTTGCAATGGCTATTAAACCACATAAATTACACACATGTATTTTATAAGAATCAGATACTTCAAAGAGTCGTTCTTTTAAAAATTGAGCAGCTCCATGACTGATCTGACAATCACGCTCCATTTCTCCAAAACGTAAACCTCCATCCCTATAAAATTATTATTGAATTTTAGTTTCTTAGATACAATGTTAAAAATATATTTAAAAATTGTTTTTAATAATTTCAAAATAGTAACAAAATAATTCTTACAATAAACATGGAAATTTAATAAATGTACAAGAATATTGATCCGTAATATATTTACTTAAAGAATAAAATGTTACTAAACATAGAAGATTGTGAACATAATTAAACATACTAAAAATATAAAAAATTCAATTTAAATATGGAATTTTAGACTTCATGTATTCAATATTTATTTGATTAAAAATTTGAAATATCATATATATTTTAATTGATTTGATTGATTTGATTCTATTGTGCGTCAAATATATTCTAAGAAATATGGATATGCAAATATACTAAAGCAAATATTGAAAATAGAAAGTTGTCAATGATACATATAAATTGATATATATAATAGGTTCATAATATAAAAATGATAAATATTTATTACAAGAACATTGTACAAATCAACACATTACAATGCATAATAGAGTAGAGAGAAAAAAATATTATTCTCTACCTTGCTCTTCCTTCCATTGGTTGCCTTACTAAGATTTGTACCGGCCCTCTGGCTCTACTATGAATTTTATCATCTACCATGTGTTTGAGCCTTTGATAATAAGTGGGGCCAAGAAAAACTTGAGCATTGATTTTACGTCCACTATAGCCATTGTACATAATTTCATTGCCACGTAATTGATAGCCATAGTCCATAAGCAATGATGAGATTTTTTGAACATTGACTGCATCATTGAATGGAGTTGCATCGCCAATCTCACCTTTATTCGCAGAAACCTTACCTTGAATGCATTCAATCAAATGACCAATTGTCATGCGTGAAGGGATGGCATGCGGATTGATAATGATATCAGGAGTCATACCCTCACATGTAAAGGGCATATCTTCCTGTCGATATTGAATACCACAAGTACCTAAATTATAATCATAATATAATTTTCAAAAGTAAATTTAATGTACATCTCAGTATATTTCTAATTATTACAACTATGTCATTTTGATTTGTTTATAAACAAATTTTAATTAAATGAACTCGTAAATATATTATATGATGAAGTTTTAATAATATAATATTTTAGTATATTTACGAATTTTCTCTTAAATAATTATTAATTTAATATTTAAAATAATTTTCTTTAAAAATGTAATAAGTATTATTTTACAACTTCAACAATTAACAAACTATTAACGAAAATTTAATGAAATTTAATATTTTATACAATAATTAAACATTTCTTAAAACTATTAAAGTATTAAATAATGGAAAATATGTTAAGTTTTGAAAGTATTGAAAATGATTAAAAAAGATAAGATAAAATTATTGTATAACGTACCATGTATACAGATTTTAATTAAAATAATCTATTCCAATACATTATTAAATAACTTATATTTGGCAATATTAAATAAAAGTCAAATTTTTATTTTATATACACCTTTTTGTCCGTGACGAGAAGCAAATTTATCTCCGATTTGAGGGATTCTAACACTGCGCACACGAATTTTACAAAATTTATAACCTTCATTATTTAAGGTTAACATTACTTGATCAACAATGCCTGTTTCACTATTTCGTAGAAACGTTGAAACATCACGTTTAGTATAACGTATTACACTGCTAACTAACTGTAAATGATTAAATATCAATTTTTACACCAACAGCAATAGAAATTAAATTTAATGTTTTAAAAAGTATTTTTAATTTTAAAAATGAAATGTCTATTTTATTTAAAATTTAAAATATTTTATAAATTCAAACAATTTGGTTTATTTTATTTTATATTTTTTAAAAATAAAAATTATAATATTCAGAAGACATGCAGAGGCAATTAAATATCATCCATACTATTTTAGATGATTATTTAAGTAAAGCATTTTTAAAATAATTATCTCACTTAAATCATTAAATTTTATTAATGTAGAAATAAAAGCCAGATACTTACCTCATCATCAATTTCAGGTAAAGACATTGTCTTGCCAATAATAACATCATCTCCTGAGACACGAATACCGGGAGCGATTATCCCATCAGGATCAAGTTTATTGTAAACAGCATTCCTTATACCTTGACAGTTCTGTTTCTGGGGTTTTTCAAATTGCTCCTCGTGATCACCAAGGCGTTTTATTTCAGAATCTTTGTATGATCTATAAAAGACTGATCGGAAAAAGCCACGTTCCACAGCACTCGTATTGAGAATGATGCTGTCTTCTTGATTGTAACCCGAATAACAAAGGATGGCAACAATACTGTTGATACCAGCTGGTAGTTCACGGAAACGTAGGTACTCCATCGAACGAGTTGTTACAAGAGGCTTATGTGGATAGTAGAGAACGTGTGCAAGGGTGTCCATACGGACGTGAAAATTTGTTATATATACTCCCATTGCTTGCTTGCCCATTGCACTCTGCACAAACAGATAGCTTAACAATTTTAATGGACTTAATTTTTTGTAATTTGTATTTTAATTTCATTCAACTATTCTGATTGAACTTATTATTTTACTTATTTAAATAATAAATTTGAGTTTATTGTCGACATATTTTTATACAATTGTTATGATTACAGATTTAACTAAGTTTAAACATTTTTCATTCGTGAAATATTAAATTATTAATTACCTTGTCACAAATTATAAAAATGGATACTAATTAATTAATTTATTTATATTTTCTAATTCAATTAACAATAAAATAGTAAAAAATTCATCTGTCAAAATTAATACTACATTTAATAAAATCATATTACGTACTTGATAAGTATTTCTGGGGCTTTGATTATGATCAGGAAATGGAATGATAGAAGCACAAACTCCTAAAATCATTGCAGGATGAATTTCGCAGTGAGTATAGGTAGTACAGTATGCAAACTCCTTGTCTTGTTTTAAATCCTCAGGTGACATTGCTATCATCACAGTTTCTTCTTCAAGAGTATCAATGTATTCAACAACTCCATTTCCAACAAGTTCTTGCCATCTACATTTCAAAAATACTTTCGATTATATAATGTATATAAATATATATTACATAAGCTGAGCATATAGAATTGATAATATAACATACAAATGTATTATATTTTGTATACATGCAAGCATGGACGCGTACACGTAGCTGTCCGTCCGTCCGTCCGTCCGTCCGTCCGTCCGCCTATCTATCAGTCTCTCTCTCTCTCTCTCTCTCTCTCTCTCTCTCTCTCTCTAAGCTGATATACTAAAGCATTGTAAATTATTTATTTATTTATTAATATATATTATATATTCTTTTAAAAAATTATTAATTATATAAATATACAGATAAAAAAATTGATCCTGTACATTCCATCATATAAGATATATCTTAATTTTTAATGGTTACTAATTAACTAATATTTACCCATCATTATTGTAATCTCTTTCTTTGAGTACATCTACATGCCTCTTTTTTAGTAATAATTGCTGATTTTCTACAATCAGTAATGGTCTGCTAATCCTGCCAGCATCTGTATAAATTCTAATCTCTCTATCTCTAATATCTCTAACCATTGATACTTCTGAAACGATGATATCCATTTGCCTTCTCAGTTTCCTTAACATAATATTCCAAAGTTATATGAAAATTCATAAAAATAATACTGAAAATAAATTAATGATTCAATTATGGAAAAAATGTATTTAAAATCGAGAATATTCATGAATATTTTAAAAATTATATGCATTAAATTTAAAATATTTCAATTTGGCTATTTGGTGTTTTTTAGCACCAATCATTATTATTAATATTAAAATAAATATTAATTTACAATTATCAGTTATTATAAAAGCAGTATTCATTATATTTTAAAATTCAGAACTTTTACTAATATCTATAAATTTAGTTCGAATATGGAAATTATTCAAAAAATGTGAAAAATTTACAAAACTTTAATCTTATTAAAAAAAAAATCTTATACTATTTAATAATAATTTTTATCAATAATATAAGACTGACATTCAATCAATAACGACAATCAATTGTATTTGTATCAATTGTAATTGTAACGATAATCAATTTAATTTCATTTTAAAATTTGAAGGCCAAAAAAGATTTTTATCGGATTTTTATTTCTAAAGTACAAAGGCTCCTTGAAAAATTAATTTTTTAAAACAGGTCAATCTTTTTTATAAATACTGTTAAATAAGAAATTAAACTAAAATAACTCCTATGTAAATTAATATATTATACAATTTTCAAACTAAAATTTTAAATTTTGATAAAATTAATAAATATTTGTTGTACGTATTATTTCTACTTATTTAAATCATAAATCAATCTGAAAAAAATGTATATAAAGTTTTCAGATAATAGTGGAATACTACTGCGTAATATAAAATACGACATAAAAACATATTCACTTTGTAATCAATAATCGTACTTTGTTATATACATTTTTATTTGTTTTTTAAATAAAAATCTCTTATATGTCAAAATTTTTATCTATAATAATTATTAATATTGTTATTACTAAAAATACTTTGTTTTACAAACATGCATTGCAAATTTGTTAGAAAATAACATCTTAAATTTCAATTAATGTTATCTAAAGTTCAAGAAAAATTCTTAAAACAATTATTCAGGGTTTTCATTTAGAAACGTCGTATGAATGTTTACATCAATATATTACCTTAATATTGTCATTAACTGATCAGGGTCTCGATGAATGCCTACCCAACATCCATTAACAAAAATTTTTGTCGCATAGGCCACCGAATTTGGAGTTATTTCCTCTAAATTTTCCATTGACCATTCTTCTAAGAATTCAAGAATGGGAGAGGGTTGTGAACCGACACTAATATAGGCCATGAGAGCAAGATTTTTCACAAGACCAACCGAGGCACCTTCTGGTGTTTCAGCTGGACATAACATCCCCCACAAAGTGTTGTGCAGCTGTCGTGGACGAGCTAATTTACCATTCCTTCCGATCGGCGAATTCACACGGCGTAAATGCGACAGCGTCGAAGCAAAAGTTAATCTGAGAATCACGTAATGACTGTTACCAAATGTTTGTACAGTTCATTATCTATAATAGTTACTATTTAAGCTGTCTTATATTATTAGCATTAAAAAATTTTTAAAGATTATTTAATTGTACTAGATTTAAAGAAATTCACGAGCACAATCACTGTTGTACATAAATACAATTTAATAAATTGTATTGTAAATTACATGGTATTACATATCACTAAAGAAACTTTATAATTACGCACAAAATTTTGATAATATATATGAAACATTTCATAATTAATATTAGAAGACAATTTAATCGGAATTAATTTAATCTTCGTTTTCAAATTTCGTACAAGATAGTAGAATTATAAAATAAGATTAAAGTAAGGAGTTTGGGTAAATAATGTAATTATTTATCTATGAATAAATTAAAATATTTTTAATTTAATTTATTTAAAAAAAAATAAACAAAATTGAATAAATTTCGTTTACAAACCTATTCAAAACTTGAGAAACTCCAGCTCTGGCTTGATGAGCTTTTTTCTGATCTCCCCAATTACCCGTCGCTAAAGAGTATCTTAAGCCATCAGTTATAATTTTTGTTTTGATGGCAAGCTCTAAATTAAAATCCTTTCCTTTATTTATAAATTTTTGCGCATATAATTTTACTTCCTTCATTAAGTTTTTAAATAGTCCGCGGAATAAAAAAGCTAATAATGGACCAGCCAAATCAAGACGTTTGTTGCCGTAATGATCACGATCATCTGATGAATAATAAAATAATAAAATACAAATATTTCCAGGTATTTTTAAGTAAGTAATAAATATTTCCATTTCATTGCATTTTTCACCGTTAAAAATTATTAATTTATAAAAATAAATTACTTTTATTCTCTTTGTGACAGCTAAATATAAGTTATAATTAATCATTTTTATCAATTCATTACACAAATATAGTACTATATATTAAGTAAACAAAATTTGATAATTTATAAATGATTGAATAACACATTAGTAATATTATAAATCATTTCCTGTAATCAAATTAATATTTTTTATAAACTTTTATTTTTTCAGTATTTTATTATTTCAATATAAATAAGAAATAACGTTCTCGTAATAAATAAAATTCTTAAATAAATTGAACCTTAATATAGCAAAATATATTTAAATCTTAAAAGTTTTACTACATTTAAAAATTAGGATAATGATGAATATATTTTTGTTTCTTTTATATATTTAGTACAATTAACAAATACTTATAAATTATATATTATTGATTTTATAGATTATTTATTAAAATATAACTAAAATTAAACTTTCAGAAACATGAAATATTAAAAGAAATATGTAGTCACATAAAGAAAATAATAAATTGTAGTTGGAGTAAGTTAAATATTTTAATAAGTATATTTTAATTGAAAAATTTACTAGAAATATAATTTCTAAATTAAACCCTACGAATTAAAATATAATTTATATTTCAAATGAGTATTCCATAAAAGGTACAATTGACATTTAAATATTCTTATTAATGTTTAATTACAAAAGGTATTTTCAAAAAGGTATTTTCTATTTTTTATATTTTTCTATTACAAATAATATATATAGGATTGAAATATGCTAATAATACATAATTGTAAAAAAAGGTTTTTCCTTGTAATATTTATTGTATGCTCTTCAAAATTGAATATCTGAGAGACTCGCTATGGATACTATTCTTCAACCACAATTAACTTATTTTTTGTTATCTTTTTATAAATTTTAATAACCATAAAATAATATTCAAGAAACAAAACTATTTATTTTATTTCTTATAAAACTGCATAATAAGTTTTATTCATGAATACAAATTTTATGAATTTTTAATATATTTACTAATAAACTAATTACTTATAATATCATATTAAAACCGCATAAAATTAAAAGTATTTTTTTGCCTATAATCAGAATGTATATAAAAATAGAAGCATTATAAATCAAATGGAAAATGTAATAGAAAAATTTTTTTAATTTTGGCTAGAAAAAAGTCTTTAATCGAACAATTTTTAATGTTTTTTTTTTACTTCGCCTCACTGTTGAAAATGGAAAAATCTGTATTTTTAATGATATGTTAAAAATAAAAATTATCGCTCTTAAGCAGTACTAGAAATTATTATACTTGGTTCGTACCCAATTCTCTGCGTCCTAAAGAGGCCGATAGCAGTCTATGAACCATATAACCGAGAAAATAAGCCTTCTTTGTCTCGCAAAAGTCACTAATGCCAACATGCGGTAGTGTTTCTTTCTGTAGAATTTCTTTAGCATACTTAATTCTTCTTTCTTTAGTAACACCGGGTCGCGCTCCCCTGCTGCCAATAAAATTTAATGCAATATTTTGTTCCTGGATAACGAAAGCTTCGTCTAGTGAAGGTTTCACCATCTCCATCATTTCTGGATCATCAAAATCATATATTATGTGTTCAAGGATGTCACGGTCAGCAACAAAACCCAAAGCACGAAAAACTATCATAATTGGAATCTCTTGACGAATATAAGGTAAAATTGCGATCATACGCTGACCAATCGTAGATTTCTTGAAACTCTACGCAGCCAAGTATCAAATTCGTAAAAATTTATTTATATTACTACGTTCGATATCGAAAATATGTATTAAAATTATGTATAATAAATTATTTATTTTAAAAATATATGAACTATTATTTTAAATTACTTCAAATCATCAAATAATAAATTACAAGTTACCTTTTTTTTTACAATTGTGATAAATTTTTATTAGTAAATATAAAGTATTTAAAAATAAACATTAAGGAAAACTAAATTACTTAAAGAAATTTCAAATAATTTAATACAGAATTTTCATTTAAAAAAATTAATGAATACTTAAATTATAATTCTTATTTATATAATTTTTTTTTTTAATGTAATCTTTTAATACATTTTAAAGATTATATCTTTACATAAAAAAAAAAATTGACAAAAAATATATTACCATCAGATAATTTATATTAAATATTTAATTGAATAATTTTTTATAGTATTATTAATATTTAAAATTTTGTAATAAAGATTTATATTTATTTGCAATATATTATTGGGCTTACTGTTCCACTCTTTGACATCATATTGATCCATAATGTTGACACTGGTCGAGAGCTATTTTCTAAACAGGATCGGATTTCAGTTTTATATACATACTTGCTATCTTTCATACTGAATACATATACTGTATTAGTTGCCATTTTTTCCTGGGCAATTAAAACCTGTTAACAATACAATGATCAATTTTGATTTAATTTCATCATAACTTTATTATTAATAAACCTTTTCTGATCCATTAACGATGAAATATCCACCTGGATCTAGTGGACATTCGTTGAGTTCTGTTAAATCTCGGTCTGATAATCTAGAGAGCAAACAATATTTAGATCTTAACATAATTGGGATTTTACCAATAAATGTTTTTTGATGTTGAGTCTCTATATTAAAAATACAAAAATCCATTTTATGAAATAAATTTAGTTATTATTTACAAGATATATTAGACATTTGAATCAGACTCACCTGTTACTTCCCCTTCTTTAATAACTGTTTTTGTAACATCTACATAAAGTGGAGCAGAATAAGTCAGATTTCTAAGCCTAGCTTCATTTGGCATCATTGGTGACGGGGCACCATCCTTTTCCCAATGGGTAGGTTTTGATAAATAAATCTGTTCGAATTTTACTAAGTGTCTTGTTATATTCTCAATTTGACCCGTCTTATGCTGATTTTCCATTTGCAAATCAATTCTAGGAGATTCTTCGACTATTCGCTGAACTGACATTTCAATAAACTCATCAAAACTATCAAGTTGTTGACGAACAAGGCCTTTCTCATCAAAATAGGCATTAATAATAATCCAACAAGCCTCTTGCCACAGTTTTGTTGAAATCTCTTCAGAATTCTCATTTTTATATTGTTCTATAAACAATTATATTCAGAAATACTAATTTATTGTATATATACTATATTTAGGATAAATGTGACTAGCTATAAACTTACACTAATAATAAAATATCAGTAAACAATAAAAATATAGTAATTGCATTTTATATAAATATTAATGCTGGAATATTCTTTATTTTACACCGATATGCGTTTGTTTTCTTTATACACTAAATATAATATACGTAAAATACACGAACAAAATGAAAATGGAAATATAAATATCGTATACTTACATTAAATATAAGATATTAATAATAGTTAAAAATAAGATTACGTACTGTGAAAAAATATATTATCATAATTCTTTAAAAATTGAAATTGCTGAAGTGCAATTTACCTTCATCGAGGACGTACATTTCTATTGATTAATAAAGTGAAGATATATAAATATAAATATTTGAACTATCAAAATACTAAGTAAAACCAATTGTTTTAATATTAAAAAAATCAGAATTTCAACTCCTACACTAAACGACTGAAGCAGCACTGCCAAGTATCACGCTTTTGCGGTGTCTATTTATTAGTATAGAATGCGCAATACAATGCGCAGAAATATACATATTATCAAAATATAACCGATTTCATTTTAACGACAGTCCATGAATTTTTAATACAAAATTTAAAATGATTAGTTACATAAATGAATAATAAAACAACAATAAAAACCATTACGTGAGAATACAAATATTGCTATTTCTATTTTAATGCTTAATGCAACATGTACTTTTATTTAAACTACATATTCCATTATTTTCAGAAAATATTCAATATAATACTAAAAACTTTCCAATGTGAATTATCAATATATTTTCATATTTATTTATTTATGTATTTCATATAATTATTTTTATAGTTTTTATATTTTACATATGTTCGGGATTGAAGCAGTTCCATGAATTTCAAACAAAAGAAAGGTCATATACGCAGTCCGGCGTACCGCATGTGCGCCTAGACTGACCCGCACGTGCGGACCGGGACGGGTACCCGAGAAAAATGTTTACAAACAAAACTCGGTAAGTCCGAGCAAGTTTACGATATGAAATATAATTTACTGCCAGCACACACAAAAAAGGGACGCCTTCGAAACTACTAGAAGCTTCGTTTTCTCACGCCAAAGGAAAATTTCTGGAAGGGACGCGCATCGACACTGTTGCCGGCGCTGAAGACGCCGCATGCACATTTAAGCGCAACGCGCCATGAGGCGACGCTCATTCGTAAAATCACTTCGCTCTGCATCAAGCATAACTGCTGGTCAGTGCATAGTATACTGTAAAGACGCCGCGTGGCCACATTTTCGACAACATAAGCTCACTCGTAAAGTTCACTTCGCTCTCCATCAAGCGTAACTGCCGGTCAGTGCAAGTATACTGTAAAGACGCCGCGTGGCCATATTTTCAGCAGCATAGCAAAGAGTACCCGCGTGAATAGAAAAGATAATCAGCAATCTTTTAATAAGTGATTACAGTGAAGCCAATGGAATTGTAATCAAGGGAAACATTACATACACAGCATCGAATCCATCCAACCTGCAGTTCACCAGGTACATCTTTATATTAATAAATAAACAAGTCACATCTCTCGCTATTGTCGATCGGGCACACTTACGCTCTCTCGAACTGATCCCTCGACATCGTACAGGCCCGCTAGCACAACAGGGCACACCTTACGCTCTCTCGAACTAACCACTCGACATCGTACAGGCCCGCTAGCACACACAGGGCACACTTACGCTCTCTCGAACTGATCCCTCGACATCGTACAGGCCCGCTAGCACACACAGGGCACACTTACGCTCTCTCGAACTAACCGTTCGACATCGTACAGGCCCGCTAGCACAAACAGGGCACACTAGCGCTCTCCCGAAGAACACTTCGGAACCGTGCAGGCCCTGAACAGCTGACGCAAGAGTCACTGTGGTTCACACACATTGGTTACACAAGACCAACACAGATCGACTAATAGACTCTACAGATACGGATTATCAAATCCTCCACGAATTAGAAATACTACTTCTAATTGTTTTTCCTGTGACTAGATTCTACTGCTGTCCCTTGTACATAATCAAAAACATAATCGATTACATAATAAATTCCATTTAAGATCTAACAACTCATCAAGTATAGCTTATAGCATAAAAATCACAAGAACACATCTTTTGAATAATCCAACAGAATTATTTATTTCTACACAACAGTGCAATATTATAATAATTGTTTACAATCATTAACCTTGTTTTTAAATAAATATATTATATTTTTCAGCCTTGTCCGTTATTGATTTCCTTTAAAATTATCCTGCCGAGAGACTAATCCACTGAACTAGTGAATTGGTAGTTCGAGCCATAAGTTAACCCTTTAAAACCGAACAACATACTATAATTAATATCAAAAAGTTAGATTGTTATATTTGTGTTCATGAATTTCATTTAACTATACCCTTATATACGTTTATTATAGTTAAATAAGATTTATTATATACATTGGTAATTGTTTATATTGTGATTATATTTTGTGATATTAAACTATTCAATTCATTACTACATAAAAATTTATTTTATTTATACTTTATAATTTATCAATGTAATAAAAAAAACTTAATTTACATTTTTTGTAATGCTACAAGATGTGGTTAGAGTATTTTTATTCACAAATATTTTTATGATATTGTTAAAAGTACTTTAAATTATTCTTATTAATAAATATTTTTATTTTTTGCAATGGACTAGAACAAATATTAACATAAATACCGTAATATATATTTCTATAAAACTATACTTATAACTATTAATAAACATGCTTTTTTCATGATGGAAGACAGAAACAGAAACATGATTTTTCTTTTTAGAATTATATTATATTTATAATAGATTTTTGTAGCTATACTAAATATCGGTAATATTACTTCTTTAATAATTTGATTAAATGATTGTCACTTATAATGATAATATAGTACAATAAAGTATGAACAAAACAGATGATTAAGATTGACGTTGAATTTGTTTTATATCTACAATATTAATAGAAAACATAATTAAAAAATGTACATAACATTATTTAAATAAGTAAAAATAATATTAATAATAAGAAAACTAATTCTATTTTATATTTCTTCCATATTAATCATCTTATTATAACTATATAACGAAATTCAATTCAATAATTCAATAATTATTTCTATCTTAGAATTTTACACTCAATAAATTAAGTAAAGACATTATACTCAAAATTGTAAATATTTTTAATTAAATACTATTTGATAATTCTGAAAAATTGAAATGATAGTAATGATTTCAAAATAACAGCAATAACAGAAACGATACATGAACTGATAAATTTATCAATTTTTAAATTATTCTTAATATATCATAATTATTTCTATTACGAAATATGATTACTTCGGATATTAATTACATATTTAAATACTGATTTATTATAATCTAGTCATTAATACAATATATAACTTTTATATAATATATTATAGGTCTTAAAATAAAAATATAATTGGAAAAATTTATATTACTAATTTTTTTTTAATTTATTTTAGTAAAAACCTACTTATTATTTGGAATTATAAAATAGTTCCATTTACTAAAAACTTTTCCGAAGTAATTGAAAAAATAACAATTTTTAGATACATAATTGAGTTTTAGAAGAAACATTATTAAACTATTAACTATAAATATTTTTAAAAATTAGAGCGTATAATACAAATAACATTTAGTTATTCAAATAGATATAGAAACTTTTTTGAATTCTAAAATAATAGTTTTGTTTTTAATTTATTATATTTTTCTATAAAATATCCAATTAAAGTTGTAAATAAATATTAAGTAGAATAAATAGAATTGCAGGCTTTTTAATGAAATCTTATTGATTACTCATAATTTAAATTTAAATAAAATAATATTGTAATTAACAGTACAATGATAAAGTACAATTAAATATTTAAAAATAACGCACTTCAAGATAAGAAATAGTACAGAAAATTATATAATTCTTGAAACAAAAAAATGATAATAAAAATTCTTTTAACTACAAAAGAAGCTTCAGATCCAAATGCAACATTATGATCACGATAAAATAATAAAAAAGGAATAAACTATTAAAATAAATTACAATATTGTAAAATATAAAATATTTAGAATTGGTGATTACTCCAAATTATAATAAGTGAGGGGTTGATTAAATTAAAGTCGCGCTCTAAATTATCAAATTTTAAGTATGTTAAATAAAATTCTTCTATCAAGAACAAAATCGAATGTATAAACTTCTATGTGATATAAAAATAAAAAGAAATGTAAAACATCAAATATTAAATAAAATGAATTCATAAATTATACAAAATATAAATGAATATTATACTTGAATACATACTAATAAATTTTATAGTAAATTTATAAATTCAATCAATATGAATTAAACCAAATCACTAAAAATTTATATCAGGATATCAACAAAATTATGTAATCCAAATGAAGTATTACATAGCAAAACAATAAGGCTATTGGGTCGGAACTAGTTCTAAGACTAAGTTTTTGACAAAGATTGTTAATTGATTATGCACCATAGCCGTGATCGCAGTGCTGTTTTTCAATACGCTTTTGTTTCCTTTTTCCCTTACTTTTTTGGAATTAACAATAACCTACCTTATATATAGATCTTGCATTTATAAAAACAACATATAGATAGTACATTCTGATTACAATAATGTTATTAAACCTCGTTGTATCGGAATTTAAAAATCTACTTGTAGTAGGTTCGGACTTCCAGTGATTTATCCAGGTATGCAGTATTAATAATCGTAGTATCCTTATTCCGAATTTCCGGTTTTCATCATACTCGCCCTCATTGAGGCATCAAAACTCAAACATATTACATTTTTTGCAAAAATGCAAGCTCAAAAAATTAAATTTCAAGCACAATAAATTCATATTATATTTTTAAGAATTCATAAAAATAAAAAATATTAATTTTTTTTCTTTCTTGCTTTAATTTAAATCAATGCCTTTAGAATTTTAGAATATATTATATAATTGAAGTATGCAAAATTTGTCAGGATGTAACTATATCTACTGGTATTCAAATATTTAAAAACTTGTAATGGAAAAGTAAAAGAGAATAACAAGATTGATCTAAATTGATTTTAAAATAATACGTTTTACAAATTAAAATTCTCATTATTTTGTATATGTTTAACTTGAAAAAAATAATTTTGCAACTATATTTTTCAAAAGTTAGTAGTCAAGAATTTAAAAATGATGTAAAATGTACAAATTTTGATAGTTCAACAAAAATCAATTATTTTGAGTTAAAAATAAAATATATTTTAAACAATTAAAAAAGAAATATTTGATATTTAATAAAAAATTCAGATGTACAATACTTCTTCAATGAATTATATAAGCATTCCCCTTTCATAAAATTATTATCTGAAATCAAGTTTCATATTATACATAATAAAATATGTATACAATTAAATAATTTCTTTTAACATATTTATAATATTGACATTGTTTAAATTAATGGAATTATCATAAAAGCGTTTATTTTTTCTAAACATAGTTTAATATTGTCTTATTATTATAACTCAATTATAAGCATAAATTATTTGCACACGATAATTGTATCTAAATTGCAAACCATATTTAATGTTACCAAAAGTAAGTAAATCTGTGTTTCCAACAAAGAGAAAAAATAGAGAAATAAAAAATTCATGAAATATAAATAATCAAATAAGAGCCTACATTTCTGTGTAATTATTACAATATAGAATACAATATAGATATTGAAGGAGTTAAGAGGCTTGTGTTTTTTTAACTTCCTTCAAATTATTTATCGTAAGATGCTGATTTATTCATACATTATAATTAATCACATAATTCATTGATTTATAAAATCAATTTTAGTAATACATCTTAATAATATAAGAAATAAAATAAACGCTTGTTTAAAAATGTGTTTTTTATTCAGAACAAAAGAATAAACATACAAATAATTTTATAAATTTAGTAAATTCATTATAAATTTTTTAATAAAGTATTAATAATTATAGAAACTTCGTAGTAAACATTCTATGTGTTAATTCTTATTTAATATTTTTACTAACTTAAAAATACAAAATTTTAATTATCAATGTTATTGATAAAGATAAGCATCGTTTATATTAAATTATTTCCATACAATTTTCTATAATTTTGAGAATTACATTATTTTATGTATTATTGAGAAATAACATAATAAAAATATATTTATGTATAAAGATATATTTACAAATACACCCACACATATTAATTGTTGAAAAGTTTTATTAAATTTGGAAACTTAAAAATAAATATTTTTTAACTTTGTAAATACATACATATTGTTTACATTATTTATGATTACATACTTAATTAGGAATTTTAATATTTAATCACAAAACTTCTCAACATTTCATTACAACGTTTCATCCATTTATTTTCCATACTATAAATGACTAGACTAATGCATTTGCATTAAGATAGTATTATCTACATTTTACATGACAAAATCATGATGTATTATAAAATCAATAAAAATCATAAATAACAAATATTCTGTTTAAAATTTTTATGAATTAATAATAATATTTAGCTATTAGTTATTATTATTTTATTTTATTGATCTAATGATTATTCCATTTAAAATAACAATTCTTTTACAAAATACTTAATTTTGTGAACTATAGAAATAAAAGTAAATATACTGCATATTGGTAACACATTCACATTTTTTTAATACAAAGAATAGATTTTAGAAACTTATTAAATAATGTATTACAAAATGTATTACAAGTTTAATAATTGGTAATTACAGTTTAGTCTAAAACCACCACCTAATCCTTGTTCTTTTCTTAGGTGTGCTAGTTTTAATGAATACCAAACCTGTAACAATATTTTTTAGTATTTTTAATATTAAGGCAATTTAAATAAAGTTATTATATATATGTTGATAGAAAATACCAAATAAATAATTAAAAGAAAATAAATCTTAAAATCAGTATTTTATAACAAAATACATTGAAATTATAAACATAATTTTTGTTTGTTGTGTACTTAAATAATTTTTAAATATTAACTAAATTCTTTTCAGAAAATTAACGTTTCATTTGAGAAACATGTAAAGCGTTTATTGTATTTAATCAATATAATATTATCTGGACATTATTTATAGTTTATAAGGAATTTAAAATTTATCTACCTGTACATTTTCTTCCGATAATCCTGTTTCAGCTGCTAGAAGTACGACATCCGCTTTATGAGGATTTTTTGGCCACTTATTGAACTGTTCCTGCAAAACAGTTTCTTGATTTGCGGTGACATGAATGATCCGGCATTCAGTTTTCGACAACTTTTGCGGTAACATTGAGTTTATCATCTGCCTACGAGTAATGAAAACTAAATTGTTATATGTACATTACATTTAATTTAACTTTGAAGTAGATTTAACCAATACTGTTAATTTCGTAAATAAACACGATTTAAAAAAATTTTTTTAAAGTCGATAATAAATCTTATTTATTAATATTTTTATTAAATAACTTTTTATTAGTTAGAGAAATTTGTCGAATGGTGTACTATCTGGGATCAGACTTAAAACCTCATTGTGACGTTGAATGGAGGTGTTGCTGGCAAGTGGAGGAGGCAAATGCAATTATTCAATTCTATACACAGTATTTTTTGGTCTTTCTTTATTAAATACAATAATATAATAATAATTAATGGTTATAGAAGTGTATGAATGGAGAGTATGAGTGACTTATGTATGAAGTTTCTTCAATTGTTTTACGTGCTGATGAGAGTGTGTGTACTCTCAATAGTGTGAGGCGTGATTCCTTCCTTTCATGAGAAGTGTCGCTGTGTAGCCAGCGCGTACTGAAGGGCCGATTGGGACGATGCTGCTTTAGTCGTCGGTGTGATCGAAGGAACGTGCGTAGCCACTTAGCGTTCTGCTTACGTGAGCGTGAGAGCTGCCACTGTTTAGCCGTTGCTGTGTATCTATGTTGAGATACGTTGATATGTGTTTGAGTTATACTTTCATTAAATTCACTCTTGATTTATGCTTGCACTAGCGCTTCTTGAATATAAGTTTAATGTATTTTGATCGTTGTAGCTATCACTATTGGTTATTAGATTGCTCGTTACTTGATGATTAAATACTTGTATAGCTACAATGAATGATAACTGTAGTTTGGATGCTTGATGAAGGAATAGAGAGCCCATCGTGATGACTGCGTAATTCTTACTAGCACACGGCCGCGCATCAAGCGCTGCTCAAATATTTTTGTAGAAGCTTGCGACGCCGGCAGCGCACCGGTGCCTGTTGCTATGCCAAACTATCGTATATTCGAGTTTTCAGCGTAGGAAATTGCCCGAATTCGCTACATTGTTTTTATAAACATAAATGTCCGGGAGCTTATACCTCTCCCACTTTTGAATTCCGCTTTCAACTGTTTCAATCCCGAACATGTACAATATACTATATCAATGTAAGATTATTATGTTATAATAATCTTTAATTTTATCATTTTTATTTATTTCGTATTATTATAATATATTTCTAAAACTTATAATTCAAATCTATTTAATATGTCAAAATTGTTTATATCGAACCTCTTAAATTTTCAATAATTGTTTTACAATATCAATTATTATTAGCCATTAAAATATATTCCCAGTATGATATAAAAAATTATCTAGAAGACATGGCCAATATAATATACGAAATTGATTTCTAACTATTGTTATGTAATATTATAGAATTCAACGTAGCAGTTCTCAAAATATTGTTAATGCTTCTTCAAAACATAATTCATGATTTTTTAAGTTTGTATTATGTAATATATGTATAGGTAATATAATGGATAATAATCCAATCATATATTAATTAAAGTATTCATATATCAAACTGTTTTGATTTTTTATTAAGTTTGAATTTTGTCCCTTTGACATACATTAAAATTCTTATATTTTATCTTAACATTTTAAATAAATAACTGTAGTTTTATTGCAGAAATCGTATTTTTAAACACAAAACACAATATATATGTAATAAATTATCATTGTATTGTCGGGTATAAGATAATATTTTAATTAAGTAGATAAAATTAATTACGAAATAAAATTATATAATAAAATTTTATTTTTAATTTATTCATAAATTTATTTAAAGTAGTGATTTAATAATTATATTTTATATTTTTCCAATTAAATTAAGTTATTACTGTTATTATTTAATGAATGAGTGCATGCTATTGCATATATATTAATTAACTAGTATAATATTAAATTAAACATAAAAACTATTTTCATATAAATATTAGTTAATTCGATAAACCGACATATTTATAAATAAATAAATTTATTTTAATCAGTTTTTTTTAATTTATTTTTCATTTCAAAATAAATTTAATTTAAATTGTCAATAAATCATTTTAATATTAAGCTACACACATTAGTGTTTATAATAAACACCATTATAAAATGTCCCAAAATAAATAATAGTCTCAATGATATTGGTTACTCTTAGTATTTAATATTAACTTGACATTGACCTAAACTTGAGAAATAAAATTGGTAATGTTTTACAAATATCATTCACCAGTGCGAAAACATGCACGTATCTTGTGACTAGTATCAAAATGTAAATCATGTGGACAGGAAGAGATTATATATGTAAATTTATGTGATTTTTTTACAATTAAATAATACAAGAAATTTTATTTTTAAATTAATTACAAAATTAATCTTTTATGTTAAATGCAAACTATACTTAAATAATAGTTCCTATTTCTTATAAATTTAGTTATAATTATAATTTATTTTAATTAATAAAAGGGACGAACAAATTTGAAATTGTGTAAAATCTGATAAATTGATTATAAATGAATTCATGTTAAACAACAAACAATAATTCTCAATATAAGAACTAACTTTCGGAAATAATTGAATTATTAATAATAATTTATCAATAATTATTATAATATACTATATATACTATAATAATTATTAATAATTTTTTTTCAATTTTTGACTTTGAAATATTGTAAAAAGTTTGTAAGTACTTACAATTTTTTTACTTATACTTCGAATTTTTAAGGTTAAACTAGAATTATTTTGATTATAAACTGTATTAACTAAAATACTAGTTTACCAATTTAAAAAATTACCAGACTAAATGCTTCTAAAGCATTGGATTTTAACTACTATACAAATGTAAATAAAAATTGAATAATAAAAATAAATGAAATATTTTTAAATATCTGACAAATAAATCCAAATATAAAGAAGAATCAAAATATTAGATTATAAACATAATATGTAAAAAATATATATATACATTAAACATTTTTTGCTTTTATAGATTTAAAGGCTGTATAATTTGTAATTTTTTAAAAGTCTACAATTAAAATTATTTATACGTTTTAAATCACTTTAAAATACACAAAAACTTTTTAAAAAATATATAATAAATAATTAAATTTAGAAAATATATAAAAATATGATAAAATTAAGAAAATACATAGAAAAATTATTAAATAAGGAAAATACAGAAAAAATGATTAAATTAATAAAATACATAAAATAATTTATTAAATAGTAATTTGATATTTTTATAAAATAGTTATAATTTTCCATAATTATAAAATAGTTTGAAACGTAATTTTAAAGAGAAATTTTAATAACAAATAAAATTAAATTAAATTAACAATTATTTTATTTAATCATTTGAATATACTTCAATGTTGTGATTATTATTTTACTATTGGTCTTATAATAAATAATTTTATATTTTGAATAAATTATATGAAATCTAATACTTTAAAGTAATACATTGTCTTTACATGCAATTATATTAAATATTAAACTGATATAATACAAGTAGTAAATGTAAGATATCAAATAAAAAAATCGATATAAGACTAATAATGTTGATTACATAAAAATTTGTCAATGAAAAATATTTGTATTATATAATATAAATTAATTTCTAAAGAGAGTAACATTTTCTATTTCATGTACTTAGAATGCAAAACACAATTTTTTAGAATTTAAATTATTTACTTAACAATTACATTTAATAAATAGAAATAATATTTAGTAAGTACGTACATAGTTGCCAATATTTTTCATAAGCTATACTGTTATTAAATTATATAAATATTTTAAATTTGTCATAAACTTCTATTTTGATAGATCTATTGAACATTTTAAATAATATATTTTTGAAAAAAATAATAGACATAAGTATTTTTAAGATAATATTACCAACTTATTCTACATTGTAGCAAAATTTAATATAAACTACTAAAATACATAATAAAAATAAAAAATGAGTTTTACAAGTATTAAAATGTATTCCATGTAATATTGCGATATACTATAAATAAATTTTTAAAAAATATATTTTATATAGACAAATATAACTTATACAATAAATTTTAACAAATATTAAATGTTAATCGATAAAAAGTTTATGTACATGTTTTTAACATAAGTTATTATAAGACTTAAAAGAAAAAAGAAAAAAAAATTTTATAATTATAAATATTTAAAAATTTTGCCCTTCGAATTATTAACTTAACACTTATTAACACTTTTTTTATTTTTCTACAACTTTGTCATGATGATAAAATGTTTAAATTTATTACTTAGTCATTATAATATAATTGTTGTCGATTTTGAATATAAGCTAAAATAAAATGAAGAGTTTTAAAGGAGACTTACATGAATCAAAATTAAAAATATCAGCTGAAATAAAGCAGACGCGACAGTGGCAACTTGTTGATTCTTCTCTTTTCTAAAGTTGACTGTTTTATAAAGTACAATTAATATTTAAAAAGTCGCTTTTCAATGATAAGTAATGACAGAACGAGGTTTTACAAATGAATGGTCTGAAGGAAATATAAAGTCACGCTAATGAAGCGCAAACTACGCAACACGAATCGTCTCTTCGAGACATAGATATATTGCCGGAAAAGTTTTGTTGAATGAAAGCCAAGTTTTATTGTAAACTTGATCTACAAAAACGCTCGAACGATTTATAGTAATTAACGAAATTTCATAAAGCGTAAATTTGGACTTCAGTGCATTTATTTATAAGGTTTCATTCAAATGTCCATTATAATTTGATCAAACTAAATTTTTAAATTCTTTCATAATCTATAAAAAAATTACACGATCTACAGTACTTACTACCAACTGCTACTTTCAAATAAATGGCAAAAAATTTATTCTCATTAATATAATCTATTTTCGTACCATCCTTCGAATATTACAAATACTGTGCCTTATGATTATTATTTCAATTAGATTTAAATATTATTACAACAAATTATTATAAGTGTGAATTATAATTCCAATTAATTGTTCATCGATCTTTTAAACAATTGTATATACAATGAAAACATAATATTTCTATTGAAGTAATAAATTGAAATTTCAAATATTGAATTAATTCTCATAAAGTAATAATGCAATTATTTAAAATCATTTTTAATTTAATAAATATACTTTGATCCATAGTGGATATAGTTTGATAAGTAAATCAATTTGTTAATACGTAAAAATCAAATACATAACTTTCTAAATATGATTCTATTTTATAAAACT